AAATCAAAGTTATTTAAAAGTTAATTTTGTCAAACACTCATAATTATCTTCGAGTTATACTTTTTTTAAACTTATTTTTATTATCTATTTTAAGTAATATGCTCAAGTACTTTTAGCATGAAATCAAATAATAACGTAAACATGTGTGCTAGTTTTAAAATTATGAACTCGTAACCCACAAAATTTAATCCAATTGGTAAGAAATTGGCCCACAATTTTTATAATTGTAAGTTCGAATCCCGCTGTCGATATAAAAATCTGATTGATTGGTGAATTATAAGTATCATATAAGTACTCTTTGAGTGTTAAGATATGTCTCAGTGTTGATAAGTCTTAACACCCAGCTCACAAAATTTTTTTGTTAAAAATTTTTTTTTACTAACTTGCGAATGAGCACACGATAATAAGGAGAGAGAGGGAGCCAGGAAAAAAACTTCGTTTGCTGTAGCCCTGGGCAATCACGTGTTAGTGATTGTGCAATGAGAGCCCTTAATGTCCTGATTAATGTGAGATCCGTTTGTCGCAGGGCAAAATGATTGAATAAACAGCCAGATAATTGGTCTGGCGGTTACAAGATCAATAGCCATATGATGGCTACTTCTAAATGGTCTATAAAAGGCTGCGTAGATATAATAATTATTTTTCTTAAATATCTTATATTCATCATGTCATATTATACTACTTCTCCTGTCCTTAATATGGGACCTAATTATTAAATTGGTTTTGATCCTGAATATAAGAATCATTTTTTATATTTATCAATTTTCTCTAAATTATTCCTATGGATACTTCCTCAACTATAATCAAGTAGAAGAAGAAGAGAGGGTATTGAGAAAGATAATTATGGTATTTTAGGAAAAACATGTTACATTTTTATAATTAACTAATTTACCTAACTTTCTTAATCTAATCAAATTAGTTAAATAGGTCTTATAGTAAAGAGCAGAAGAGTATATATCTAAAGACGTAAATAAGTCTTAAAAATAACATCAAAATCACACACTCCACTAAAACACACTACCATTACTTTTAGTTCCACTTTAGCCTAATACTGCTCGCCAGTCCTTATTATTTAATGCAAATAACTGTTATGAAGAACCGTGAGTGTAGGCTTGTTCGATTTGATAAGGCAGTAAATATTATATATATATATAGAGCGCGCGGGCGCACTTATATATTAAAATAAGGCTCGCAGTTGCATGTGATGGTTCATGAGCAATAATTCAGGCCTAAAATCTCATGTAAATAAGACAGATGATGACAGTGATATTAGGATGATTTATCGTTTGGTTAATTAAAAAAAATTATTTAGTGGGAAGTTGAATCATCATCCTCATTTTCGTCGTCCGTATGGCAGCTCCGTTGGGTAGCATCCGTGATGGCGTCATTTGTCTGCATTCCCTCACCTTAACGACTCCGCGTCACATACTTCGCCTCCCTCGCCCCGCCCTTTTCATTTGTTGCCGTTGATCTGATTTGGTTAAAAAGTGGTAGATCATGATAAATATAAACCCTGCAGATTTAATTCCTCTTCTTTTTTTTTTTGAGTAAAATACTCTAACCACCTCTCATTTTATCTTAATTATATAGACATTCCTTCTATTTTGAAAACCTATATAGACCTCCCTTAAAATTAAAATACAGGTTACACTAACCTCTTTTGTATAACTGATATTTTATTTCTATCTCTCCAAACTGTTATTTAACCATTAATTTTAACTTTTTAAGCTCTCTCTTTTTTTTTTATACCAAAATACCTCTCTTTATCATAAGAATTAATTAAACACTTATATTCCCCAAAAAAACTATACAACCAAAAACTACTCTTAATACATGAATTTTCAAACTTTTTAATGTATTATAAAATTTATTAATTTTGAATTTATTGTCAAGTTTTATAATTTTAATTTTTCATCATATTTTAAATTTCTTTATTTTGTTTTTTAAGTGGTTAAAAATATATATCAAGCACATATTTTTACTTACTGTATAGTATAAACTACGTAAGTTTGATAGATTGTGCAAGTCATTTGAATCTGTAATTTAAAATTGTTAAACACATTTTTCTACAAACATTTATAAACACATTAAGTTTAGATTAAAAACATTAAGCAAATAACTATTGCAAAAATAAGAAAATAAAAATAAGGAAAAATAAAATAGTTTAATATAAATTTTGGGGATTGATTAGAATGGGGTAAAATAGTAAATAAAATTTATTTTCATATAAATTTTAATTAAAAATTATATTTTTAGAATCTTTTGAGAATATTCTTAACTGTGTTAACATATTAGATTAAATTGTATGTTTTTAAAATAGAAGAGAGGTTCATATAATTAAAATATAATTGAAGGGTAATCAATGTATTTTAATAACAAGTCTATAGAATAGTCTATGGCAGACTCCAACCGTCGGCATTTTCCCGTCACTTTATAATGGTGTTTGGTTGATTTGAAAAGTATTTTTTAAAAAAATGATTTTACATAAATTAAAATAAAATTATATATATATGTTTATTTATATGTCGTAAAATTAATTTTAAAATTATAATTTAATTTTCACCTAAACATTTATTTATATTCACTTTTATATATGCATTTTAAAATTCCCTTCAAAACACTACTTAAGTTGGCAGAAAATTGTTAAGTGTACTACTTAAGAAGTGATAACCCTAATTACAGCACTCCTAGAAGTATATGCTGTATTACTTCATAAATTATGTTGGATGCTCGGAGCTCATCTTATATCCGGAAGCAAGAAGTTGGTGGTGCATATGCAAATATAGAATATTGATTCATTGAAATCGGAGCTATTAATGTTGCAAGTATTTCTCACTGTTAAATATATATATTATTGAAAAAAGCATGGCCGAACCCAAACATATTTTTTGATTTTTTTTTAAAATGAAAGGTTCTGAGTTCAATTTTTCAATGAAAAGTCTCATAGGTGGGCTATAGCACATAAAATACTCTCAAGAAAACATAACAGAATTAAAAGGAGAACATGTCTAGCCTTTTTATTTTCTAGGCTCTAAGCCTTCTCTTGGGTCAAAAAAAAAAAAGAATATAAAAATTCATATGGCAAATTAAATAGCTTTATCATTTTTTGATATAAACCATCCGGTATCCAACCGCGCCTTTTCTGGGCCCCAGCCTCTTTGGGCCAGTTGTACCCGAGCGATCGACTAGTCCGGATTCGGGCCGGGCGACAAGTAAAGCCCTCCCCGGTACCCTTTTTAACAAGTGAGGATTCGAACTCCCGCCCTCAAAGAGCAGAGACTTGCCTCACTTGTGGCCTAGCCAGTCACCACTAGGCCAGGAGTATTCGGGTATTAAATAGCTTTATCATGCGTCGGAAATAAGACAAAAACAATTCACGCCGTGTTCTCTCTCTCTCCCCCTCTCTCTCCGTTCTCCATGACACGCGGTGTTCACCATTAACGAGTGAAAATACTAAACGAAATTAGAGCCCCCCTCCCCCGGGGGGGAAAAGGATATGTTATGTTCATTTTTTTTTTCCCTTTCATTGATCTTCATCTCGTACTCGTATACTAAGCTGGCCGGTCCTCAGTTGTTTGGTTTCATAAAATTTAGTTTAAAAATTAATTTCATGCTTGCCCACTAGATGAGACGAGATAATAAATAGTGAAGAGTGCTGTTATCAAAATAAGGATGTAAATTCGAATAGTAAACTAGTAGGAGTTTATTTTTCTTAATAAATTATCATTAAGAGTATATAATTAAATAATTAAAATATAAAAATATAACAATTTCATTTAATAAATTTTAAATCCAAATAATTAAAATTAAACATATCCTTCTTTTACCAGCGAAATTAAACATATCCACGTTCTTAGTTTACCATATTGAACAAAGAAATTTTTATTAAATTTATATATAAAGTCACTAATTATAACTAAATCTGAAAAAATAGCACGGATTTAAGAACCAGTTGACATAATTTCATAATCTCTTAATAAGTTAGAAATGTGAAAACAATAAATTCGGTGAGTAAATTCATAAAATTCAACCTAGTTCACAGCGATCACTAATTTAAGAGTAAGTGACACAATTTTATAAAGTAAAAACCTTAAAAACACTAAACCCAAAAAGTAAACTTGTGAGCTTAATAACAATAGTTAATTTCTTCGATTCAAACACACCATATCTTTTGTGGAAGTCATAATAAATGCGTGAATTATTATTATGACAAAAAATGCATAATTTAAAAAATCAATGAAATATATAAATCAATTTAAATAATGTTGGTTGGCAAAAAATTTATGTTGAACTACTAAGGCACTTATAATAAGAAAAACTCTATTGAATAATATAAAAAAAATGCATATAATAATTAAAAACTATTAAAAGTAAAAACTTATTTTACCGCTGATAGATATTAAAGGCCCATTTCACCCAAAAAAAATATATTAAAGACCCATTTGAAATGACTCATAAACAGTTTTTCAACTATGATTTGTAGAGTATAAGGTATATATGTGAAAAAAAGTTACTTCAATTTACTACCTCCAGTCCTTAATATAAGACCATATTTGATTTTTATTTTGATCCTAAATATAAGACCCCGATCCACTTTGTCTCTCATATTTATGTATTTTTTTTAAAGTAGTCATTTTAACAATGATAGTTCTAGTCAATACGATTAGCAAGGATATTTTAGGAAAAACAACACCTATTTAGGACAAATAACTAACTCAATTTACTTTCTTAATCTCCTCAAATTAGTCAACTGGCTCTTATAATTAGGATTGGAGATAGTATATAAAATATGCTTAAATAAGCGATTTAAAGATAATCATAAACAGGAATTAAAATGACCAGAGTAACCCTTTAGGAAAGATTCGGTCCGCTGGAGAAGAGACGGAGGAGAAAAGGGCGTATGCTGGCGAGGGCACTCAAAAATGATGATCGTGGGCGCTCCAAGACGTCGCGGTCGTAATAAGGGCGCAATTCCCGAGAAGACAAGGAGGCAGAGGAAAGGTAAGCGCACTCGGGTGATCTGACGGCAGGGAATGGTCAGTCACATCAACGGCTCTCAGTCCCTCCCAACCCCCCACACCTACGACGGTTCTCCTCCTTTTATGCGCCCTGCATATCCCTCTGCCTTCCCCCAAAATACCTCACTCCTCACTCCTCACTCCCCACTGCCTTCCTTCCAGATGAGACCAGATTGAGATCCCTCCTTCACTATTCTCGTATCAATTTCCCTTCTCATCGTCGTTATCTTCGTCCCACCACCACCTTCACGAGTCGTCTCTTCCCTCTCGGATTCTCCTGATCCTTCCTGAAACCTCCCTCCTACGCAGTGTCTTATCTCATTTTTCTCATTTCGGTGCCGCTGATCGATGCCCGCCGTTTTGGTGCCCTCTGACGTTTCCGTTTTCCTATTCCCCAACACGTCAGAGGATCTGGTCACGTGTCATCGCCCTTCCCTCTGTACGTTTTGCATGAGTTTGACTCCCCGGCCTGGATTAGCTATCCCAAAGATGCATCAGAATTGAGGGGGGGAGAGAGTCTGCAAATATCTTTGAGCCTTTCCCATCCCTTTTTGTGGCTGTGAATTTTTCGTCATTCTCCTTTTTATTTTTTTTCCCCCATTCTACTTTTTATCTGTTATCGTTCAGTCCTTCTCTTCCTTTTACTCTCTTCGCCCCGCCCCTTTTTCCTGGCTTGCTAGTAGCAAACCCTAAAATTTCCAAATATACGCCGTTTTAAAGCACCGGGGCAGAAAAATAAGGATCCTTCCGATTTCTGCTTTTTGCATATTTCGTTGTTTTTCCTGGAATGGGTATCTCTATTTTCATCAGATCTGGGCCAATTATAGAAGCATTTGTTCCGTTGATTTATCGAAAGTGCTTTATTTTCTCGAGGTTTCCAAATTTGGTCATGCCCTTTTGTATTTTCTCCTCCCATGTTGCCTCTTTCTTGGGACATAGAAATTGACAGAAGAGAGTGAGCACACAGAGGCACTTGGTATAGCTGTATACTGTTGCTTTTGCGTGCTCACTTCTCTTTCTGTCAGCTTCCAGTGCTGGAAATTAACTTTGTTGCTATCTGGCTCTGCTTTGTTCCCATTTCCAAACATAACCATTCTTCTCTCTCCCTCTCTCCGGAATGCATCGGAGTTGGAATACCACTGAAGAAGTTGCATCGTTCATTATCCGACAGTGAAAGGCATTGCCTTCGGTGTTTGTTTGCCTTTAAACCTTTTTCTCCCGGAACTATTGCATTTTATCCTGTTTTTCTCCGATGGATTATATTATTATTATTATTTTATAGCAGCAATAGTAATTTATTATTATATATTATCGGTGGAAACCTGAAAGCGTGACTTTTGATGGTTCCCGCAGTAGCTACCCCTCAGTACTGTGCAGATTAAGCGGCAAAGATACTAGCATGGGACCATTCATATCACATAGTATGGTCCTCACTCTTCACGTATTTACTTCGTCTTTCTTTCGTCCCTCAGGATTTATGTCATCATCTTCCAGATTTCACTCCTGTCCATATTTTATATAATTCCTGCGCATGCGATGTTCACTCGGTAAGTGGTTCGCTTTGGCTGTTTGTTTTCGCCTGAATCTATGTCTACGTTCTGACTCCTCTTGACACTTTTATTTCAAATGGGCTCTTTTCAATTCTAGTCGGTAAACCTTACCATTACACTGTGTAGGTCCCTTTTGCTCAGATTACCAATTAAAGTCGTCTATGTTTGTTTGAGGATTGAGCTTTATTTTCTCGGACTCCCTAATAGTTTGCAATTGCTGTATCACTCTTGGATCTGGTTTTTCATAATATATAACGTAATATTTTACAGATTTACAAGACAAATCACACCAGTTGTTCCACACGATGCGAGATCTAATCTGTGAATAGACAGTGGGAAAATTGACTAGATTTGGCATGTGCATGAACTGATGATACCGAGCCTCCCTCTTTTTACTGATTCATATGCACATGCAGGTAAACGTAGAATGGGTCGTTCTTGGAAGACATCATCCTTGCTTTCATATGCCCTGAAAGCATATGATTTGACTAAGGATTGTTGGTAACTTGACATGAATTTTTTTTTCCCTTGTTTTTTCTGTTTTCACGTTATCACTGTTGCATCTTCTCATCTCCGATCACCGGTACATACAATTGACAGTCAACTATATATACTCACCAATTCTCAGGACAATTATGATTATGACACTACTCTTTCCTGAGCATTATAATTACTCTTGATTTTTCAGTTTCCTGCAAAACCATGTTTGAGTTGAACTTGTCAGGATGCGAATTGACAAGTTTATATGGATCATGCAGGCTGCATCAACGTGTCATTGAAAGGTTATTAATTTAACTTGTTCCTTTTTTAACCCCTATTTCTCTCATTCCAAAGTCGGGTGTCCTACTAGAGTCGGATGGTAGATGTCCTAAAACATCTGCAATTTCCTATCTCTTAGCGTACTTAATTTGCTTTCCTACAGTTTTCAACATTTACAGAGAATTATTTAATAATTAAATTTAAATTTAAATTTCTTTCCCCACGATTTTGTGTTGACTGAGTTTTGGGGTTGGTTTTCTGTTGCCACAGCCTTATTATAATATTATAAGATGGAGATGTATATATGCTGCATATAGTCTCATCTCTAATGTCATATTCATACGGTTTCCGGTTTGGTAATTAGCCCTATTTCTCTGTAAATTATTTTTTATTTTTTAAGTATTTATTATGACACTTCGTATTCATTTTTTCTCAATAATAATCCCATATTAATTTAGAAGCTATTATATCGCCTATTTTATCTTCTTCTTAATTACAGCATAAGCTTGCAATGTTTGCTCTTTTATAATTCCTTTTTAAAAATCTCAGTGCCTTAACCTATCAAAGCAATCACTTTCACAAACTTGTAATTTGATGGTTTTATTATACTTATACGGACTCTCTTCAGATTTCCGAATCAGTTATTGTGATTGCAACAGAGTGTTTTAGACCTGCCCATTATTCTTTCATCAGAAAAAGGCCATGCTTTTCGTGAGTGGAGCATTAATTTATACTGGTGCATGACTCTTTCAATTTGAATCAAAAATAAAGATTTCAGGTTGCGTAAATTTTCATGTAAATCATTTCATGTTATATATTTTATAAAGGTGGAATAGTGTAGTTTCCGTGATGTTGATGATTATCATTTTCATGCTTGCATGCTTGTTTTTGTCTATACTATATGAATGGATTAATACTAATTTATGGTTATCAACTGTACATGGTCATCATCATTGGTGGTTAGTTGTGAACTTTGCCCTATTATCATCAACATTCTTCTTATATATGCAAACAATGCCAAAAATCATATACTGTTTCAGATGGGAGTATAGTTCATGGTGTCTTCCACCGTTCCATTAAGACAGTGATTGATTTGGCTCTTAATTACCTTTCAAGCCTGTTTAGTTTTGTTCATGGGATATCTTGTTGATGTGATGACATACTTACACGAGAGTTTTTTGCCAATGATTAACATGTTCCAGCCCCGAAAGCACACACTGACGCGCTCTATCTCTGAAATTCTTCATATTTTAGCATGAAAGAAGTTTATGCATCTAATAGGTAATTGCTTGTCTGGTTTAGATAAGGACAAGGTGTTGGCAGAAAAATATACGGATCAGGTGATGACCGGTTTATTAGCATATTTTATGAAAATCTATTTTTTCCATCTTGTTTGAGCCCTCTCTCATAGTGACTTTACCGTCGATTTCTTATGATGCTTGCTCTTATTAGTGCAATGTTTTATACCTTAAATAAATGTAAGCAAGATTAGCTGGCCTGGCCTGGCTTCTATTAAACCACACATGGATATACACCTGCATCTGCATCTTTTTCACGACCGTTTAATTAAAAAATATACTAAATCAATACACAGCACAGCTCTTTTCGAAACATGGTGCTTTCTCATTCATTATCATGAAGACCTGGAGTTTCCGAGTTCCAGTGCTGGTGACAACAAATTGATCAAAAGCAGGAAAAAAAAAAAAACTATAATGTCTTTCTCTTTCTATCTTGGCAATGATGGCTTTTCCTTCTACATTTAATTTGGTCATTTAATGTTTAAAATTATTTTAATTTTTTTCTATCATGTTTATGCCTACATAAATATATTACAATAAAACTAAAAGAAATGCCTGCATATGACGTACGCTTGGCAGTGAATGCATGGAGGCAATCTCAGTACAGTCAAATGAGAAACTAATTTCTCGAAATTCTGAAGTTCCGTACCTTGAATTCCCAATTCCTAATCCTAACTTAACGCACAAAGCTATATTGTAAAAAAGTGTATCTATTGAGTTGATTAACATTTCAGGAAAGTAGGAATGGTCAAATTCAACAAATGGTTAGTTCTTGGATTAACTTCTACACCTACGAAAGTAGAATATAAGAACGACGTTGATATATTCCTTCAAAGGTGAGACTTCATGGACGAATAAAGCTATATTACTAAGTGCATCGATATGCCTTGTGATCCTTCAATGGCGATATTGCAAATGCTTACATTGCCGTTGGGCATTTACAGCCACTACTGCGATCAGTTACTGTGCACGTTCCTGCATGGCCGTGTGCTGAATGTTATAATCAACCTTTTCCAGCCTTAAGTTGGAGAATTGACACCGTAAATAGCAATAAATCACCAAAGTGGATAAACAGTTGTTATATGTAGAATTTTTACACCACGTTAAAGATCTTTTTGGGGCTACTCACGCTGATGCTGCACAGCAGTAGCATTTTAATCAAGCCATCACCATCATCAGTCATCACATTCACCATAGCTGTAATGGTTTAGGTTACTATTTTTCTCACAAATAATTCTCTGCGTCATTATCACCTTTACATCAATGTCAGTGTCTGGAAATAAACTTGTCTGTTATTCAGTTTACTTTTTTTGTTACTTTTTTTTTTAATTTTTAATTTTATGATTGCAGAAAACTAAAGAGGTGACGGGCGCGAATCATTGCAGGCGAAATATCTTCATGATTGGTATTTGGAAATGAAGAGAAGAGATATGAAGATAGAAACAATGGATCTAAACCTCGCTAGTTTGCGGAAACACTACGGCCAGGTATGCAGAAACTAAAAAAGATGATATTCCCTTGCATATATATGGTGTTCTTAGTGATTGACCCTTAGTAGTTTGAAGGGACTGTCTTAATTTTGTCTGTGAAAGACAACAGGTATTGGTGAATATGGTGTGTGTGTGTGTGTGTTCCAATGTTGATGGCTCAATAGTTATGTCACAAACACACACACACACACATCAATGGTTGTTGATATATATATATATATATATATATCCAAAGAGTTATTGTTAATGAAATCGAAACTTGCTATTGTTATGGTGAAAGGCAACAATTTTTGGTGTTGGGCATTACAAAGAAAGAATTTGGTCATGCCATTTCGGGGAACCAAACGGTATTCTCTCACAAGTAGCGTAGGCCTTTTAATTGGGCGCTGACTGCAATTGCAATCGGGGGATACTTTATCTAAGCCTTTGCTAATGTAGGTGTATGTCTAACCGTAGAAAACACACAGGCGAAGGCGGAAGGTCTATATTATTATGGTTTAGTTAATGTGATTAGAATGATTGTTTTTATTGACACAGGCTGCAGACTCAGTGGAAAAAATGATGCAAAAGAGAGTCTGGTTCGTCTTCGCACCTGTGATGGAATTAATGAAAGGATATGTTATTTGACAAGCCAAGGGAGAAAGTTTCAGTCAGCACACAGCACTCAGCACACCTGGACTGAGGAGGTGGCGCCTTGTTTGTGAATTTGGTATTCATTTAACCGTACATTTGAGAAAGATGAACATTTATGTATAATTTTCGGTGATTAAATCTTTGTCAAATTATAAGACAAGCTGGTCAAGTTCATAAAACGCATCTCTTGACAGTACACATGGCGTTTAAGGAGGTCATTCGGGAGTGATCCAAGGGTTCTTGGCCCCTCAGTTACGCTGAGCTTTGGAATATTGGGGAAGCTGAAAATTGCGCCAGTGTCCAAACTTGGTTCATGTGAAGTTTTCTTCTCTCTCTCTCTCTCTCTGTGGGATGATTTATTCTATGAGCAACTTAAACCAGATGCCTGTTATATCATCGCTTGTAAGTTATCATTGACTTGAATGACGACTGAACCACTTCGGTCCGAGAAAGATATATGCTCTTTTTAGTAAGTTATCATTGACTTGATTGATATGTACGAGCACTTGTGTATTCTAGTCTTTCTTTTACACTGTATGGGTTTCTGACGAGAAACGGTTGTTGAACGTTGATTACCTGCTTAAGATACAGGGTGTGTTATATGAAAGGCATGCCTCTTGGGGACTAATTAGTAATTAATAATCACTTTTCCCTGCCTGTAATCAAGATAATGGGCTGCTGGTTGCTAATGGTTATTTAATTGTTGAAGTCTTTAGTTAGAAAAGAGGAGAGGTAACAAACGCGAGAGCAAAAGCAGCTGCCGCGAAAACCGATCTGGTGTATCACGGATCAGTTACAGCCCCAATATAGCCCGTAATTAAGCCGGTACCGGGAAATAATTAGAGTAAGAAAATGTTAGAGCCATATTAAAGAAATCATTAATTAGGGTTTCATTTTTGCCCTAATACACCGCCTTATCTGTTTTAGAGGAATGGCGGCAATGGTTATAGAATGCTTTTAGTCACTCCCAATTTGTTATTAGTTTATAAGATACTACCTCCTATCCTTAATATAAAATCTTATTTGACTTTTATTTTGGTCCAAAATATAAGACGCCAATCCACTTTGTCTCTCGTATTTATGTATTTTTTTTCAAGGTTGCCCTTCTAATAATAGTAATTTTAACCAATACATAACAAGGATATTTTAGGAAAAACAACACTTATTTATTACAAATAACTAACTTAACTTATTTTCTTAATCTCTTCAAATCAGTCAACTAGCTCTTATAATTAGGACTGGAGGTGGTAAAAATTACCGCAAGGCATAAGATAAGTTGCTGAAATTTTTTTGAATTTTATTAAATTATGATATATTCATAATTCTTTATTCATTAGTCATTATATCTTCTAACTTTGACAATAATCTTTCTAGATTTTAAAATTTATCAAGAAATGTGTGAGTCTCTTGGATTTTATATCCTCTATCGATGTATTCTCATGAAGATTTGAATATCTATATATATATACACAACTTAAAATAATTCTTTTGATATTTCATAATTCTCTTAGTTAACAGTGAGTGAATTGTCACTTAAATGGCCAAACATAAAAGACGTACAAAATGAATCGTTTTAAGGAAGTTGGCCACCAAACAGTGTCAACTTTGATTTTTTGTTGTTGTTGTTGTAAAATATAATGAATAAATATTTTTAAAATTGTTCGTAATTCTTTTGAAGCACAACTATGCTATATTGCCCCTGCAACGTGTATGGGGCATATAGGCGTGAGTATATGAGTTAACAACGGGAATGCAAACTCATGTTTTTAAAATATTAATATTCTGCCAAGAGCCCGGCCTGCAAAACCGTACAATCCAAATCCCGTGATGCAGCAGCAGAAACTTCACAACGAAGGGGAATAATAAAACCCTAGCCTCTTCATTTGGGCTAAGGCCCACCGAAATACAACTTTTGGATATCTTCTCAGGTTGGGCCGAAGCCCATAATGAACAGAGAAAGAAAGGCCTTCTTGAACCTGTCTGTAATTTTTCATATCTCAGGGCCGATGCTAACTTTCTCACTTCATAATGGACGCCTATTCTTGTGGCCTTTGTGGGGGGGAAAAAAAACATAAAGTTATACTTCTCCGATCTTTAATATAAGACTCATTTAACTAATTTGATTAGATTAAAGAAATTTAGGTAGAAAAGTGACATATTTTCTTAAAACACCATAATCATCTTTCTTAATACCCCATCTTCGTCTTCTACTAGATTATGGTTGAAAGAGTATCCATAAGGGTAATTTAGAGAAAATTAATAAATATGAGAAATTGGTCTTATATTTAAGACCAGAAATAATTTAAAAATTAGGTTCTATATTAAAGACAGGAGGAGTATGTTATAAATTGGCATATTCATCGGTCTCAACATCAATTATTCTAACAATATCCAGTATAATACATTGTAAAATTGTGTGGTGCTTTTATCCCTTTTTTTTTTTTATTCCTTTATGACCAGATGATGTCTTTTTTTTGGGGGGGGGGGGGTTGAAGTGTATAGAAGGCAAAGGGACGAGAGCAGGAGTGGTGGGAAAATTATGCGCCAACTATAATGGGGATGGCTTGGCAGGTCAACTTCATTGTGTTTTTAAAAAATATATATAAAATTCAATAATTGGTGGCTTTGTCATATTCATAGCACCTGACCTTCATCTCCCTCCCACATGGCATGCCCTCCCCACATCCTCACGTCTCATCAATATAAGCAACAAACAACAATTGTTCAATGCATTGTTTTCCCCTTATCTTGATTTATTGCTTTTTTCCACTTTCTAAACCAAATTCAAAAGTTACTTGCCTCTGATACCAAATACTCACTTTTCCTTATGTTTGGGAGGTTCATGTTGTTTGAGTGCGAAGTAACGGTACATATCATTTGACTTGTAAATTTGTCTTATTTTTACAGCGTTTATACTTTATTGTCCAGAAAAAAAAAAGGTAAATGGTTGAAGTTTAACTGGTCAATTTGCACCGTCTACACAAGTAAGACTATAACTATTTATTATTAGACTTTATTGAAAATAAATTATTTCTTAATTTAGTCGTTCGTAATATTTTTTTTTCAGTTTTTATTTAATATTATATTTTCGATAATTTTTATTTTATTGGAGGAAAGGCAGATATTTTTATAGGCAAAATTATTTTTTTTATTATGTGCAGGACGAAACGGCTGCTACAAATTTGGGAGGCTGTGTCTGAATTTATCTATATTACCTAAAAACACACACACACACACACACATCATTATACAATACCGAGAATATTATTTGTTAAGTATTTTTAAGTTCATATTATAGAAAATTAGGCGAGGTTCTTTGGGGGACTGCTGGAGACGTGTCCCCCCGAAACCACCCGCGGATTGGAATGTTTTGAATTCTGTGTTTCTTTGTTTTTCTTTTCTTGTTTCTTTTTAAATTTTTCCAATGCCAGGCTGTATATGTTTCTAAAATGTTGTTAATTATTAGAAATAGCAGTAACTTAGATGAAAAAAATTATCAAAAAAATTAGTTAATGCAACGTCGGCCGGGAGTAAGAGGCTACTGGGTACCCGCCAATCATGGAAGGGGCGTGCCCGGCTAGAATTCGCCAACCCTAGTATCGGGTCCCATGTTACTCGTTTTGTTAAATAATCAGATTATTTAACTGAAAAATGCTTAAATGAGTTAAAAATAATTAAAAACATAAAAAATGTAGTTCATTTTTAGAATATTCTTGTCTACGAAAAAGATGGGTAGGAAAAAAGAATGAGTGGAAATAAAATAAAAAGAGAATGAGTGGTATAAAAAGGGGAAAAGAGATGTAACTAATGGAAAGGAAAAATAAAATGATACATTAAATGTTCAAACATCTCACCCGTAGTATATAAAAAAAAAATTATACAAACAAACAGAAGGAGCAATAATTGGGAAAACTATGAAAGTGATCTAAAGTAAGAGATATTTATTTAATGCTTGGTCATTCTAGATATTCACTTCTTGCTTTCTAGCTTCTCTTTGATAAGTATCAAGTCCACTAAGTTTTTTCCCCTCTAATTTTTCCAAATACTCTCGTGTTAGTGTTAGTATTTATAGGGTGTTTCGGAACTTAAAAAAATACTTTTCAAATATATTTTTTTATAAAACGAGATAAATTTTTTTACATATTTATTTCATATATCGTAAAAAGACTTTTAAAATTATAATTTGATCTCATCCACAAATGTTTTTTTTGATCTTTTTGAACAACTACAGCTTTTAACATTACCTATAATGAACGAGGATCATTCCCGCTAAGTCCTCCCTCTAATTAATTGCCGATGGGGTAAGGGGACAGGTGATGGGGAATCCGGGCCCACGACGCGATCACGGCGGTGCTAAAAAACGTTGCATTATTTGAATTGGGATTCAGTTAACTGGTCATATATAGAATATGGAATTACCACCGAACTCCCTCATTCCCTGTTAGTTGCACCTGTTTTGTTCCCTCTCACAAATGATTCCCTCTTTATTGCGCGCCCACAGCTTTAACAATTTTGATTTTTCCTTAAAAAAAAAATCAATAAACCTCCCCCACTAGATCATACATTTTCCCCTGTGCGCCGTATAAGTTGCTTAAAAAAGAATGATTTAATCCAAAATATAAATTATTTAAAAAATAATTAATGCTTATTTATTAAAAGTGTCCTTATAATTAATTTTTAAATACAACTCCTTTTTGTATTTACCGCTATTCTTCACAATCTTAAAAGTTAAAAAAAAATCAACTCGATACAAATTTAATGGATTAGGTACCGTTTTGAAAGGGCAAGAAAAAAGGGGCATGGGAAGGCAACAGGTGAGGGGAGGTGTTATCCTGTGGCGGGTCACGTGTATGGATGAGAGTGAGCAAAGTAACGATGGAGGCGTCGGGTGCTCAGGATGTGGGGGTATTTTGGGAAATTCAGAAAGGGGAATGCGACACGTGGGAGTGAGAGGAGAGGACGTGGAACCATAACTGAAATTTGTCCGCTTTTTCAACTGCTTCTGCCAGCGGAGCCCTCCGTAACTGACATCTGTCTCCGACCCTCTCGTACCACCAGCCCGCCTCGTCCGGTGAAGTGCTCATGGATTTCACTTTACCATTATATTGGTATGCTACAGTTCCCCAATGCGTCATCATGATCACCACGTGTCAGGCATCAACATGCCCTTCAGTCCTCAGACGCTGACTCTCCACCCCCAGAATTGATGGGCACCCAGCTTTAAGTTTCATCAGGCATTATTGCGTCTAAATATAAAAAACTAAAAACTGGTTTGTTAGTGTTGTTATTTAAAACAGGAGGCAGTATTATGCACGCCCCATTGTGCCACGTAACTTTGCCACCCCATGCTTTCGCATCCACACAGGCGCTCTCCCTCGTGCCAAATCACTCATCTTCTCACCCCATGAGTAATAATTTCCCTCAATATCTTTGGCTGCGCCCGTGCGGATCCTGCACTTCAGAGCTTGCCCAGTATTATCCACGAAAATTTAAGGGAACCACACTCCAACACTGATTTATTTATTTATTTAAACAGTCACATCTTAGTTCACTTATTTTATTTGTTATCTACGTACTACGGAAAAATTCATCCTCATACGAACATGTTTTGTTCTAGCCCAGGGAAACATATTTTTGCCAATACTGACACGGCCAGAAGAAATTAATTGCTGATCATCGTATGGGCACTGGCTACAAAGCCCAAATCACGTTACTGTTCCCAAAAAGAGAGGGGGGGGGAAGCTACGAAATACCCATACATATATCGTGGAGGAAGACAGACTCCAAAATACGTGTCAATCAGGCGATGGCGATTCTTAAGGGAATCGTTTTCATGAGGTGGGCCGCGAAGCACCAGATTATATGCCCAACTCCTGATGGTCTTCTTTTGACCCCCACGGCCCCACCTCCAATGAAGGAGGCAGAGAAAGCAGACCACCCAAAAAAAAAAAAGAGATCCATCATCAGATATTAATAATGTTAATTATGCTAAATAAGTGGAACGTTGACCATGATTGAAACTTGAAACCCCACCACAAAACGTGTCCCCCTCCAGATTTATCGGTGATATCTTCATTCTGTGGGCTTTCGAGCTCAAGGAATAGACCAAACCACTGGCTCCACCGCTCCAATGGTAACGAGCCAGCCCCTTCCCCTTATCCGTCCCACCATCATCATCACACATGCATCGCTCTCAGCCACCCTCCCTTTAATCCCTTCCTTAATCACCCCGCACCATGCAATGTAACCCACTCTCTATTGAATGCTAATAACCACTTTCTTCTTTGATTCTCAACACTTCCTAATGCGCACAGTATTTCTCGGTAAACCCAACCACCCAGCGTCTCGTGTCTGAGATTCAGAATCAATGGAGGAGAAAAGTACAGTGTTTGGCAAGTATGAAATAGGCAGGCTTCTGGGCAAAGGGACTTTCGCCAAGGTGTATCACGGCAAACAGATAGCCACCGGCGAAAGCGTGGCCATCAAAATCGTGAGAAAGGAGCAGGTCAGGAAGGAGGGCATGATGGAGCAGATCAAGCGCGAGATTTCCGTGATGCGATTGGTTCGTCACCCCAACGTGGTTGAGCTCAAAGAAGTGATGGCCACCAAGACGAAAATTTTCTTCGTCATGGAGTACGTCCGCGGCGGTGAGCTCTTCGCCAAGGTCGCCAGAGGCAAGCTCAAGGAAGATGTGGCTCGCAAGTATTTCCAACAGTTGATCAGCGCCGTCGATTTCTGTCACAGCAGAGGAGTTTCGCACCGGGATCTCAAGCCCGAAAATCTGTTGCTGGACGAGAACGAGAATCTCAAAATCTCCGACTTTGGCCTCTCGGCGTTGCCGGAACAGCTCCGTCACGACGGTCTCCTCCACACCCAGTGTGGTACTCCGGCATATGTGGCCCCCGAAGTGTTGAGAAAGAAAGGGTATGATGGGTCCAAGGCTGATATATGGTCGTGCGGTGTCATTCTGTACGCACTGCTCGCTGGGTTCCTTCCTTTCCAGAACGAGAACCTCATGAGCATGTATACCAAGGTTTTAAGAGCCGAATTCCAATACCCTCCATGGTTTTCTGCGGAATCGAGGAGATTGATTTCGAAAATCCTCGTGGCTGACCCGGAGAGACGGGCTACGATCCCAGCGATAATGCGGGTCACTTGGTTTCTGAAAGGTTTCTCGAAGCCATCTGCTTTTCAACTAGAGGAACCCGATGATAAGGAGCTGCAGAAATCAGAACTTGCAAACCCAAAATCTAAGCCTTCATCACCCCAGTTTTTCAATGCGTTCGATTTCATTTCGTCCATGTCTTCCGGGTTCGATCTGTCCGGGCTGTTCGAGAGCAAGAGGAGAACAGGGTCGATGTTCACATCCAAATGCTCTGCCACGGCAATCGTATCGAAGATTGTGACGGTGGCGAAAGGGCTGAGTTTCAGGGTAGGGAATGAGAAGGGATTCAAGATCAGGCTGCAGGGGCCGTCGGAGGGTAGGAAAGGGAGGCTGACCGTGACGGCGGAGGTGTTCGAGGTGGCACCGGAGGTGGCCGTGGTGGAGTTCTCAAAGAGCTCCGGCGATACGCTGGAATATGCAAAGTTTTGCGAGGAAGACGTTAGGCCGGCGCTGAAAGATATAGTTTGGACGTGGCAAGGCGACAGCCCGTGCAAGGGCAACATGGACGCCGGTTACGGAGAAGGATCTCGGGAACACGTAATCAGCAACGTAGCATAGGAACAGAGCATAGCCAGCAATCTAACTATGTTTGATTTCTCCCAATGTTTTCCCTTTCCATTTCTGCGGCCTGATTTGTTCAGTTGATGGTGCAAAGAGAGAAAAATGGGTTTTTTGGTGAGATTGTATATAAATGTAAATAGGTAATACAGGTAATTACTGTTGATTAGCCCTGCAGCTTTAATCGTAGTTTTTAGTTTCTTTTTTTTCTTTCACATGTAAACTCCATGGACAATTCGGAATTTAAATATCAAAACGCCGGTCCATTTTTTGTTTCAGGAGTTGCCAGAGATACTTCAGTATCCAAGATTCTGAAAACACAGGCAGAGCCATCCAGCGGCATGAAAAGGGGGGGGGGGGGTTGTTCCAAACGAAGGCCATACGCATATAAAGTTGCTAATGCTATTTTCTGTTCTTAATATAAAAATTTTATAAAAAAGAGAGTTAAAATTATTATTTGTCACAAACATACACTGATTTCTTATAAATAATTTTTTTAATTATATATATTAGATTATTAAAATTAAAATTATCTCTTAATAAGAAACTTATACAACCAGTGGTAAGGATATCATGAGAAAACATGAAGGATAAAATAAATTAATATATTATATTTAAGATTAAATATAATTCTTAATTAGTTTTTATAATAGGAAGAGGGGTATGCTCCGATGTCCTATTCAGAGAGGAGCCTTCGTAGGTACAAAATCATTGACGCAAAGGGTTGCTTTCTAGGTATGATTAGTGTTGATAGCCAAGATACGGGGTAAGGAGTTTATACCACGGACATGGGAAGGAAAGAGGAGCAATTAAATGCGTGCGCGGATTTGGCATACTATAGGGTAAAAAGGAGCGATGATGATAAAAAGATAGGCAACGGAATGAAGGAAGTGGCAAAGCTTAGGAGGAGAGATGAAAAGCTGGAGAGCGTCCCTTTCCGGAAGTGGGGTGGGACAGGTGGCAGCCAGAGCAGAGATGAACCCCGTCGCACGGAACGAACTCGTTCACTATTGGACCACAGACCACCACACCCTCACTCCCGAGTCCCCTTTCACCTCTCACCACATGCCCTCCCTCCATTGCCTCCCCCGGCCCATTGCGTCGCCTATCAATATTTCAAATGTTATGTCACACAGCCATCACAGCGAGTGACTCTTTTATAAGACCGACAGGGGTTGCGTCCTCTGTTTTCCCATCCAAATGGATAAGGGTCTCCCCTCTCTATTGGGCTTCAAAAGCCCATTTTAGAAGCCCATGGCGCCCTCGTTCTGCATCCACCTACGCCTTAATGGGTCATAAGCCCCCCAGTCCACGTTTCCGTTCGAAACCCAATATCTAAACAACACTTGCACTCCGGCCCAATCATCCAAGTCAAATTAAAGTTAGCTTCCCATGATTGCGTCATAATTAAATTCCATGAAAAAAATGATGTGTTCATAAATTTAATTGCTTTTAATGCTCACCTTCATTCTTAACCCGTCTCCCTGAATGTTTCCTCAACATGTGTGTGCGTACATATAAATTAAGACATAGCTTGCGCGCGCGTGTTTCAATAACAAGGCTAACAAACATGTTGCTTAAGAGAACCGTTCCAACAATTCTCTTCACACTTGTCCCCGCTCATTTCTCTAACACCAAATTATTGGGAAGATGAGCAAAATTGACGAACTAAATTAATAATGAAAAAAGCACACGCGAACGCACACCAGAAATTAAAAACAGGTGAAAGTGTCCGGCCTGCTACCGTAGGTGGACATGTACATATGTAGGATGCATGCACAGCAACCACCTTTATGCCAGCATTAAAGTATTTTAATTTGACCACAATAATTAAGTTGACTTTGAAAGTTATATGTGAATATACAAATGTCGGAGGGGATCTCATTCATCAGCAGTACATAAACAGCCTAACGAAATGCTCTAAGGATATCACATGGTCCCTAATTAGAATACACACACAAATCAACAAGCGCCTCGTTTCTATACGGGGAGAAAACTTTCAGGTCCTTTCGTGAATTTACAAAATCGAACAGGGATGATGCCATCTCGGTGACGTCATTTCGGGACTATGCCTATAAATTAGGTGGTGTAATTAACTTCAATGACTTAGTTGACCTGCCCGTGATTAATTAAAAAGCAGCACATATAATAATTGCCACACACTAATCTTGCCACATTTGTAACGATGACGCATGCCTTTCGTTTTGATCCCAGAAATCCACAGTCATAAGTGAGCCATATAATCACGTTATTACTTTAATCCTCAAGCCCTCACCACCATCACACCGATCGAAACCCCTAGATTTATACTAAAGACCGAAAGCCCCAGTCAATGCAAGAAATTAAGGCTTGAAAAGTGAATGATAGACTAATTATGTTGTTTATTTCCAGGAAGGGATGCTTCGGAATCATCCACATATCCAAACAGAAATATAATAATATATAGCTTCATTGCAATACAACGCTACGGTCATGTTCAATACACTTGCCTACATAATTTCCCCTCAATATAATATATTGACCGGAAAACATTTAACTTGATGTCCTCGCCGGGAACACAGTAGAAGCAAGCGTTGAGATTAGGGAACAATGGAGATATATATTACCATAGTCACCCGGCCTATTAATTAACCTAAGAAGTTTGGCTGGAAACTATGCAGCAAATATATATATATATATATATATATATCGAAGATAACGTACGTCGGCATGGTGACCTCATGGATATATATATCTTCACGTATCCAACATTATGAAGAGGTAGTTTCGATGGCTTAATAACGTAGCATATGAATAAAGGTTGATTGACGTGGTAAATTAAAATTGGTTTTTGCTGGACCCAGCAGACCAATTTAATTTCAGTCTTGCACGCACTTTTCCACATTACCGATTCCAAAGGGAAATAAAGACAGAGAGATCAGTTACTTGAGACATGGACCTTCGAACGGTCGGTGATGACGAGATAGACGACAATGTGAGCTGGTCACGAATCAAACGTAATGAACCTGTTAGGTTATTCCAGGATAAATATAGAATAAATTCTTGGAACGAGTTCACCGTTTTGAACCTACGCATCTCATATACTATTAAAATAAACATAAAGAATAGTTCTTATTATCTAGGTACAAAGTTGGAACCGTCCGCGCATATAAATAGAATAACAAATATTTGAGTGAAAAATAAACCATAAATGCAGTGTTGTTGTTGTTTTTTTTTCTTTTTTTTTTTTGGTTTTTGAAATTGTGTACGTGAAAGATAGAGGGAATTAATGTGTTCTATGTCAAAGTTGATTGAACGAAAGATGCGATTTGGTGGTGACTTGAGGAAGAAGTGCGTCTAGAAGGATGACTGGGCTGTGTGATTTGGTGTGAACTAGTCCCATTTCATCGTTTCAAACCAAGACTCGGTTGTACATAAAATATCAACCAATTGCTAAATGCTGGGCCATGATCATTTGATAGGGGTATTTTTTTTTTAATATAATTCAGAATATTTTCAAACCATATATTTTGAACTTGAGTCGAGCTGGGAGCGTTAATATTACAGGTGTAATTTAGAGATACAAAGTTGGATGTGTTCAGGGGCATAATATATCAGACGAGTGCATTTACACGTACCAGTCAAGGTCCCCTTGAATCCTTTTCCTTCCTTACGCGTAGCCTTTTTCTTTTTTCCCCACCTTTTCCTCTTTCTGGAAGTCTTTTGAACTTTGATATTCTTGCTCATCATCTCTCCATATTTTCGTCCTCTTGCACGCAGTCTTTGTCATTATATTCGGCTTGAAATTACCAATCCCATATACATATATGCTTTTCCCATTATATTTGTTTCTATGTTAAAGTTTATCATCCATCCACTACGTGTTTATTCTGTCTCAAGCTTTCGCCTTATTCTTAAAGACTAACCATTAATTTGGTTTAACTTACCACGAAGGAATACACAAAACTTTCAAATATTGAAAAACGTAGAGACCCGGGCAAGATAGGATGACCCTTCCCAAGAGGCATCTCAAAGTCAATGAGATAATGTTAAGATGCGGGTCAATCATCAAGAACATATCAAAATCCCGAAAATCATATTTTATATTTCTCTTCATTTCAACCCTCACGCCCTTCTAATTTAGCACCCTCTCTTCTGGGCAAGCCGATATATTAGAGCGCGTCAGTGAGCCACTTGCGATGATCGAAGAAACTGTAAAACAATAGGTGACTTGCAACTTTCGTAATTTCCTGCAACTTTCCTATTGCCTCACCAACAATAACCAAAATCAAAGTCTTTTCTTCTTCTCTATATATTGCCATCCAGTTGGCTCGGATTTATGAAGTGTTTCCTTTGCTTTTAAACCATCGGTCTCTTTTCCTCTCAGATCTCAGTCCTATTCTTTTCCTTAGCAGTGAAGCAATTTCTGATATGGAATCAACATGCGTAGATACCTCTCTCCACCTCAACGTTGGTCCTCGGGACTCACAGGCTATCTCGGTTCGTAAAATTAACTAACTGAACTCAACTCATTTAGCCTTCTGCTTCGTTTATTTCAAAACTAGTTCTATGTCTTGTCTGGTTATCGACCTACAGACTTTCGTGATCGCTGCAGGCTGAAGATTTGGTGCAAGAGTTGCATCGTTTGAGCAGCGAGAATCAGAAGCTCACCGAGAGCCTGACTCACATGCGTGAGAACTGCAAGCTTTTGAAAAAGCAATTGAGCCAAGCGATGATCAAGAACACTTATAGTCCTGAAAGGGATCCAGCTAATCAATCATCAAAGAAGAGAAAGGCGGAGACGGATGCCTGTATCGATAATATGATTAGTATTAGCGGCAATACCGAGTGCAGCAACATTACAGACGAAGATTCGTCATTCAGAAGGCCAGCCACTAAGGTTTCCAGAGTTCTGGTGCGAACCCAAGCATCAGATACTGGCTTGGTAAGTTCTTCAGTTCAACATACTGTAATTAATCGTCGATTTAATTAGTCTTTGAAAAGCTCTAATTATTACCATCAATCTCTCCGTTTACTTTTAGAATCCAACTAACATATATATAGCTAGCCAGCTAAACCAGTTCTTATAGTCTTGATTTTTCTTATGGTTTCACAGCCTTAAGTTTACTCAATGGACTGTTTTCCTGTCAATCAGTTTGTTGTAGCGTGTCAATATAATTTGTAGGTTGCAGTTACTAAATAAGCATGGTTATTATGTATAAATCTACAGTATGTGAGGGATGGATATCAGTGGAGGAAATATGGTCAGAAGGTGACTCGAGATAATCCTTCTCCGAGAGCTTATTTCAGGTGTTCCTTTGCACCAAGCTGCCCTGTGAAAAAGAAGGTACTTGGTATATCGAGACTAAGATCAACCCTCTTTTTAATTCCACATAATGATGATCTTCTTGACGATGATACTGGTGTGTGTGTGTGTGTGTGTAGGTGCAAAAAAGTGCAGAAGACCCAACAGTGTTGGTGGCAACCTACGAAGGAGAGCACAACCATGGGCGACATGGATCTGAATTACCATTACTAGCCTCGAACCAGAGCCAAGACGATGGAGCCCGTGATTCAGGATTAATGGCTGAAAATGGTGGAAAGTCAACACAGCAGTGTTTGGTTCAACAAATGGCTACTTCTTTGACCAGAGATCCCAACTTTACAGCAGCACTTGCCACCGCCATTTCCGGAAGAATTTTAAACCTTGCGTCTAATTAATATCATCGAACATCATCTCGTGTATTTAGTTAGTTCATCACAATATAATGCTTCGGAGACTGCGCGAGTAGGGATGTATAAATTTACTATTACTTAATTATGATAGCAAACATTCTTGTGTTATGTACTCTTCACTGGGTTGTGCCATTTTTCCTTCGCTGTTCCTTATTACGAATGCTATAATATGTTGTAAATAGCCAGTGATGACAAACAAAAGCATAATATTACAGAAAAGACGTCTAGGTTAAGAGATAGCCGGGAATTGAAGAATCATATATAATAGGAGATGGAGCCGACATTGTACAGTGAAAGAAAACAGAATCACCTGCGCCGTATATGTTTGACCAATTCGGAGTGGTTAATTACCCGTCGACATCTTCTTTGAAGACTCGAATCATGTACGCATTCATATACATAGTCAACGTTTACTTAGTAATTTACCAATTGGCATTCCAAAATACCTTCTGCGAGGTTGGAAAGGACATTATCAAGTTGAACCCGAACGTTTAATGATGGCCTGGCCCATATATAAGCAGATAAGCAGATTAATTGAGAGTAGGTGAGGGATTCACATTAAATGGGAACTGTGCAACCACAATATTAAAACCAACTTAACTGGTTCGTAAGCTTGGAATGGAAGTTGGAGCCCCGATCGAGTTAGATGTGTATGTTTTGGGATTATAATTTCCGAAAAGACTCGAAACTTTCACAAGTCTTCTCAACAGCCTGAAACACGTTGGATTCTGTATATGCATATGATGAAAAAGGAACGGAAACTCAGTTAAATTAATTTCTACACGGAGATTAGCTCATTTGGGATGACATCACATGCTATGCATTATGCTCAAGAGATTATCGTTTTTGTTCATCAAGTCCTTCATTCGTCATTTATAAATTTATCACTCAACTGTCTGGTCTCGCGTTCTTCAAACAACTATAACTAAGAGTTCAAACAACTTAGAAGACAGTAGTAGAATAAACTAGCTAGCTAGCGAGTGGAAGTGTTTGGCTACTCTAGTCTTGCAGTACAATGGATATAGAGTTATACCTGTGAGGGCTTCGTTTTGGTCAATCAAACAAAGTGGTTGTAACTTTAATGTGAGATGTCAAAAAGGCCTTTTTACTTTGGGCATAGTCAAAACACGGAAGAGACAGTGACAATAAGACAAAGTCACGCAATAATATATATATATATATATATTTATATGGCCCTCGTCGCAGCTGTTTATATTGACCAAGTGAAATTGGCACCGTCCCCAAGACCTCTGAGGATCTGATGACCATCCATCTTCGACAGAGAGATTGATATAAAATATAGTACTTCGCCAACGACATCATGAGTAGTTAAAGATTTCAACCTTCAACTAACTTTCACAGTACACTTTTAATTTTAGGTCTGAAAACTGCAACTCTCTAATTGGCTGAGAGTGGCTGACTAGATCATGAATTCTATTCTCAACTCTGTCTGTTCATCACTGACGTCTTTGTAAGATATTTTAATTATATATTTTATATTATATTATATTATTTTGTTTTAATTAAAATATCCAGAGTATGACCCGTTAGTCAGTTAGGCCCAGTCCAGGTAAGATTCTAGACTCAGTACTTTTTAGTCATTCTTGACCTTGATGGTGGGTTAGGTTTTGACGGTTAACTGAGTGAGCATCTGTGAAAACCTAATACATGGCTCTTGAGATTCCCTGACTGGTGGCAGCTCTTTCTTATTCCATCACTGTGCCCACCTCCCAGTCAGAAGAGATCCTGATATCTTTTCTATTAACAACATCTGAATAATTTCAGTTATTCTAATCCAGATCAAGGCCAGAAGCATTGTGGATTACTTCTTCAGACTATCTAGCATGGCGAGAGGTATTTATAAGTCTTCCGCTGCTACTCTGATGATTGTAAAATTCTATATAACTATTTGGATAAATATATGTGTTCATATGAATTGTTCTAACAGTCTTTTTTTTTTTGGGGTTAATCATCACTTACAACTTTATATATTCAAATTATTGATATGAAATATTTTAAACAATTTCTTGAAAGGGGTTTGGATTCTAAACCAACCATCCCCAATTATATACTTTTCAAAAATGTGTTTCATATATATACACGTATGTGCTCATCAGTAATTTTGAATTAAAATCTTATTACTCCTTAAGTCTTTAATATTGGATCTAATTGGGAATTTAATATTGCTACTATATATATGATCTATTTAACATGTTTATCAATTTCTTCCCTAATTAACCCTATTGATATTTTTTCAATAATAATTAAGTAGGGAATGACAAGAGGAAATTGAGAAAGATGCTTATAGTGTTTTAGAAAAAAATCATATTAAATAATTTAATTAACCTTACTAATCTACATGAATTAGTTAATTATATCTTACGAGACTGGAGGAGTACTATTTACAGCGGTGCTGTACTTAAAAAAATTAATGAAGTCGTGGTTTTAGGGTGATGGTGGATTATCTTTTAATGGAACAACTTTTGTTACTTATATTCACGAATTCATAGCATTATCAGAACCTCTTTATTTCAAATTTGCTTAAATTGAACATGAATACAAACAGTTGGAGCAGTTATCATATGTAACTGATACGGTTGAAGAACTGGTTTTGTTTTTGGGGAGGGGGCAAATTCGATAAAATAACTAAAGAGGTATGAAAGTAGAAAAAGCTTGGACCACGCAGATACCACGATATCTGTGTGTGTATAAAGCAAAATGGTTCACTAGATTTGTTTATTTTAATATATTTGACAGCCTGTTAGACTTTTAAAGTAAAAAAAAAAGTTTTAAAAATTATAGCTATGCTTATAAACAGTATGACATATAAACAAATATGGATGAATATTAATATCGACAAGTCTATAAAAATCATTAAAAAAATAAGCTGAAAGAAAGTAGTATATGCGAGCGAGCTTTGGCCAGGAAACCCAATAGAAGCTAATTAAGGTAAGGTGGCTCAGGCGTGTGGGAGAGAGATGGGTTTCGCGTAGAGACAGCGTTACGGTTGTTTAGGAAGGAAGGAAAGCGCGGGAAAGGGTCCCACAATAACGGCTCCATTCCTTAACGAGGCAGCCACATTTGTTGGCTTTGTCCAACTCCACAACGCAACCTTTAACTTCTTCTTCTACGCTCCTTCCCTCAACATATATATAATTCTCCACCTGACCCTTTCTCAGTAAGTTTTTCCTCGCCGGCCGCCGCCTTCAGCCTCCCACCTCCTCTTTCTCTTTTCCAGAATCTCATTTTGGAGTTCCGCTCAGTTACAAGAGTAAGGCAGCATTTCCCATTTTATAATCATTTCAAACTCTAACAACCTTCATCTACATGTATCATGTTATGCCATGAATGGCGTTGACTTGACCCTCGCATTCCTATATAATATTCCCATCTCTCTCTTCCATCACATGTCCCCGTCTCCCTTCTTTCCTCATTTGTAATCATATTCCTGGCTTACTCAACATCGCTCCTGATCCAGCTTTATTCATTCTCCACGCTGCGTTTTTCTGTTCTTTTTGCCTCTCCTCCACGCAACATAAACAATTTGAACTAACGATATTATGTTTCGATTTGGAATAATAACGTTGCTTCTTCTGTTGCTGGGTTCTTCTGCGACGCCCAGAATGGAAGCAGCAGCAGCAGCAGAAGAATGGAAGTCTCAGTACACGCTGGATTCTGTGAGGGAGGCTTTGAAAAGAGAAGAGGATACCATCATTTTTTATCTCATCGACAGAGCTAAGTTCCCACTCAATTCTCACACCTACGATCAGCATTACTCGATCATTCCTTATTCTCGTGGCTCGCTTCTCCACTTCCTCGTCAAGAACACGGAGGCCATACAAGCAAAGGTACTATCTCTCACCTTATTAATTAATTCCTCCCTTTCTATTCTTTCTCAATTAACTTGCCCATTTTGACATCTAAATCCCGTCATTATAACTAATGGGTAATGTGATTCATTATATTCATGAATCTATATTACCAGTGATTTATAATTACATGTGTATTACTAGTAGATTGAGGTTTTATATTTAGATCAAACCAATCTATCTTCATGTTCTGTAGCTCTTATAGTATAATACACACACACACACATGGGTATTGCTTTGGAAAGTGCATGGTACATGACATATTGTGGTATTCTACAGGCAGGTAGATACAAAAGCCCCGAAGAGAATCCCTTCTTCCCAGAATATTTACCACAGTCGGTTGTGCCTGATTACCCCTTCTCAAAGGTGATTCACCATCACTCTAGTGTGGTTTTCCTCAGTTCATTCCGATTAAAAGAAAATTAAACGTGACTTTTTCTTCTTTAGATTTTGCATCCTGGAGCCGCTTCAGTCAACATAAACAAGTCCATCTGGGAAGTTTATTTTAATGAGGTGCTTCCGCTCCTTGTTGCTTCCGGTGATGATGGTAACTACGCACAAACTGCAGCTAGTGATCTTTCCTTATTGCAGGTAATATTTTTATCTGGATATCTGTGACGACTATATAATTTTCTAAAGTTATGGGGATCAGGCATCTTTACCAACTCTTTGAAAAGTAGCCCTTATCGTCCGTGTTGGTTACCGATGGCGTTTAGAACACGAAATTGAAATTTATGCAGGCCATCTCTAGAAGGATTCACTACGGAAAGTTCGTAGCAGAGGTTAAATTCAGGCAATCCCCTCAGGACTACGAGCCTTTAATTCGTGCTCGGGTATATATTTTAGTCAGCATAACATCATGATTTCATCAGCAGTGAATGAACAATCTCTGTTGGTTAGCTTCATTTAAAGATTTGGGGTTTGACTCATGCAGGACAAAGAAGGATTGATGAAATTGTTGACATCCAGGAGTGTAGAAGAGGTGGTGAGGAAGAGGGTTGAAAAGAAAGCAATGTTGTTTGGGCAAGAGGTGAGCCTTGAGCATGACGATGATGACAAACCAAATTACAAGGTCGAGCCTTCCGTTGTTTCTCGCCTTTACGAGGAATGGGTCATCCCCCTTACCAAGAATGTTGAGGTCGAGTACCTTCTTCGCCGTCTCGATTGATGACCTTTCAATCCAAGTTTCTGAAAAAAGTAATCTCCCTGTTCGGTAGAACGGCAAAATCTTGCGTGATTGTGCATTGTCAACTTCCTCGTGCTTTACCTGCGAAAGTCAGCTCTGTATAATTTAAGAGAGAGAAAGTCAACTTTGTAGCTGTGGACCACATTAATAGAAAGTTATATGACGCAGGATCATTTATCTGATTTTTGTTGCTAATTGATAAAAACAATTGTTGGAAGGAAAATGGTCAAGGGAGACTATTCAAAACTACTTTCCCAGCGAACATCCAGTTTCAATCTGAAAAGAATAATAAACAGGGATGAGTATGTTTCACATTTCTCAGATCATGCTCTCTCGCTCTTGCTAGTATGTGCCGTTTTACTCTAAGAACAGATGTTTGATGTTTTATGTAATGAAACAAACAGTAATGCATAGTGAAAGCATCAACTTCACAGAGGTTCCACCAGTTCCAAGTGAGCGATTCTCCATACGATGCTTGACTTTTAAGGAGCTTAAAACCCTTACACAGGTCAATTTGAAATTTCAGCTCAGGACCTGGGTAGTACATGCGAGGTACAGTGGATATATTGGCTTTATTCAATAGTAGCTTTTTTACTTTTTAGTGTGTCACCGAATCAAACTATCAAAAATAACGACCAGACACAGTAGCCGTGGCTCTTGAAAGTCTTTTTGATCCTGACCATAGTTCCAATAAAGTAACTTCGATTATATCATGAAGATAAATATTACACGACCCACTAATCAAATAACCGATATGGAACACTTTCACAATGCAAACGAAAACAAGCACTTCTAGGATGAAAAAGAAAGGCGTTGTTCCAGTTTTTCAACTGGCACACAATAAGGTGAATTCCAGTCAGCATCAAAAATCTCCTGAAGTTGTGAAACAATGGCAGGGTTGTCTGTTCCAAAGCTGACCCCTGATGTGGTATAAAAGTAGTCCCATACGAGATTGCTAGTTCCTATGTGAGCCCGTACGTCAGTAACTGCATATTTTCCGTGATTGACCCTCGTAAAACCAGGGTATGAATTTCCTGTACTGGCTCCGCCCTTAATGGCAGGCCCTGTCAAATTGAAACCTGGAACCACATAGTACTTGATCTCAACTTTTCCAGAGCACTTGTTGTACTTCGAAGATGAACAGAGATTGTTGGAGTAGAGGAGAGACTTCAGGTACACATCTGTACTATTGGTGAAGTGACTCCAATATGCCACCAATATTTTTACTGTTGCATGCTTGGAAAACACAACCTGGTAGAAAGAATATGCATGTGGAATATATTACTATATATAGCTCTTGGCACAAAAAATATGTTAAAGCTTCAAAAACAAAAAAAAAAAAAAAGTAGTTCTACAGGTTGAGTTCATAGTGCTGTGACACGAAAGAATATTGACGAGGCATAGGGACATGAGATCCATTAATTTATTTCTTTTCCAGATAAAAGCTCCCCAACTAATTCTGGGAGACAAATATTAAAGTGTTTCGGCGAATCAAGTATAAAGTTAATCACCTAAAGAAATAACTATACCTCTGATATCGCAGAGGACAGGGATGACCAGTAAACAGTTTGGTCAGTATATTGTGACTGACCCAACCAGTCCATGGTGTTGATTCTAACTGTTTCCTTCATTCCAACAGATTTAATTGTATCAATCCAAGCCTGTTCATCAGCCTGATACTTCCCAAATGACAGCTGCAGCCACCATTCATGGTGAACAAATGAAGACGGTCAATGCAACATCAAAAGTCGAATATGAGCTTAAATGGGATATTTCTCTACTTTCTTTCAAATGGATTTAACATGATACATAGGAAGATAGTCAAGGAATTGTTAGGAACCGAGGGGTAGTTAGTTAATTTGGTAGGAACCCATCAAACCTCTGTCAGTATAAATAGAGAGAAGGAATAATATATGCAATGGTGAAGAATGAAATAGTACTTTGGTCATGTTATTTGAGGTTTACCATGTACCATAACACTATAAAATCTTCAACAGAAATGCAATAAAGATATTTCTGAATAGCTGAGAAACAGTGCCACAAACTAAAAGTATCTGGCAACGCTTGCAATCATATTGAAATCAATAATCTCGATACAGTAAAATAACAACTCTATTGTATATATGTGGCTTCAGCTATCATATTTTGGGGCACAGGCAGCCCAAGTTATATGAAAACAAACAAACCAGCATGACCGAGTCATCTGTCGTTCACCATTATTTACGGAGTAAAATAAACTGAAGAAGAAAAGCAACTTATTTACCCATGGATATGCAGAACAAGATTTGGAGAAATTTTCTTGATTAATATAATGGCCATCCTAGGACTAGTCTATTTCAAGTAACAAATTACATGAATGTTAAAAGCCAAGCTCCTTACCTCAGGAGGAGCAAAGGAGAGATAGCTAGCTTGGGGAAGCTTTGTTGAAAGGTTACTTCCAGGAGTCTCAATTGAAACTTTAAACATATAGGGATCAGATAGAACAGGATATCCTGTAACATGGGGAGTCTTTACATACTCAGGAAGAGGAGACCTGTGGTAACATGATTAAATACGTTAATATGTCAAAAAATGAATAGCATTCTTACCTCACTCTGCATTCATTTCCATCAATCTTCAACTGTTTACATATGTAATATAAATCTCATTTAAGATGTTACCATGCTTTATAGTGTCTCTCATGTCGGCAACCATGCTAGACACTACTTGTAATGTAAATGATATTGAATAATTAATCAGCCTTTCAACATTGATATCTAACATAAAAAAACTAATTTCAAAATATAAATCTCCCATAAACTGAAATCCCAAATAGGGAAGAAACTTTTCATAGACATAACCTGCACCACACTATATCGAAACCGCAAGGTCTGAATATATAAAAGATGCATCAAGGCAGATAACCATGTCAATTAACAAGTCTCCGAATAGAAGCACATTGGAACAACTTCAGCAAAAACTCTAGTTACACTTGTGATCTATCACAAGAACCTAACTTACTCGCATCTGTTTTTTGGGTCGATGAAATGAGACCAGCAAGGAACCTTTCTTTCAACTTGCCACTGTTGATCAAATACTGTTTTTGTGCAAGCTGAAGAACTGAGTGATGCGAGTCTCCATAAATTGTTGAAGTAGACTTCAACGCTTTCAGCTATTCTTGGACAACCAGTAAGATAGATTCCAACTTCCTTAACCTAAAGCAGCCAATAATAGTGATCAGAACAGGCATCACAGATCCAACAGATAACCAATGGCGTCTATCCCAAAAAGAATAAAAGAATTACGTCAACAAAATATCCTAAGATTGATCAACCTTTAAGAAAGACTTCAACTAATAATAAGACAAATACTTATAATCCATGGAGAAAGGCAAAAAACCAATGGCATATGTCTTTGGGGGAGTTGATGCTTCATTAATCGAGATTCTTAGGAGCCCTGAAGAAAGTGCCTGGCTCTGTGCACAAATATAACCATAATCACCTGGGTAAGAGATTTCCAGTCATTGTTTGCGGATCCAATGTATAGGTGCCGATTATCTGATATCCAGACTTTGGCATGAACAATGCCCGAACCCCACCAATCTTCCAGTAACAAGGTCACATTCTTCACATTTGGCCTTCCTGAAGCAAGTTTAGATGGTTCTGTGGTGTAGTCTGGATACACTCCCGAGTGAGACAGTAACCTACAGTAATTTCAATTTGAAATGCCAACAGGTTACCGTCTCTAAGAAACAACTAAATCAAAGCCACTATTCGGCAACACACATTAAATCACACCTGATTTTAACATTACGATCAGCAGCAGCATCTACGGCTTCATAAACGGCAGCACCTTCATGGGCACCGAATTTCCGCATTTCACTTGGGGAGTAGCCGTAATCTCCGGAACGAGGATCATGGGGAGAAGCCAACAGCTGCCAGTACTGAGCAATTATGTCGAGCCGCCGAGTCGAGTTCGCCGCGAGCCACCGGAGCACATCCCCTAAATCACATCACACTTCATTTTAAAAAAATCCAAATCGAGAAAATATAAAAGTGAAAACAAATAAAGGACGCATATGTAAATAGGCATTAAACCCGTAGAGAGAACGCCGGGAACGCGGGAGAGGTCGGGCATATCGGTGGGGATGGATTGCACGAGCCATGCTTTGCAGGGGGGGCGGGAGACTTCAGAGGCGCGTGAGTGGAGAGGATGGGTGAAGAAGATAAAGAAAGCAAGTAAAATAATTTTTTGTTTGGGAAAAGGTCTCATTTTGTTACGGGTCCTACCACTGCGCTATCCACTTATATTCAGGCCGAAGCCATAAACAGTGTTTGTTCTTCTTCTGTTGATGGGGAACAGAGAGTGTACAGTGGACTTGAAGATGGGTGAAGTAATCATGAAACGGTGACGATCGCCGGCGATGCAAGGAAACGCTCGCTAGATTGAAATGCTCCCGGTTGGCTTCGCGCCGCCAAACCAACTCTATTTTATTATTACTTATGGTTGATATAAATATAAGAGTTATTTGGATAATTTGAGTATATTAAGAAAATTTATTAATTTAATTATTTGAAATAAATAAATGTTATTTTTTTGAGAATATTTTTGTTAATCATGTGTGTTAGATTAAAGTACTCCTCTGATATTTAATATAAGACTCAATTGTTAAGTTAGTTTTGGTCTTAAATATAAGACCTATTTCTCATATTTATTAATTTTCTTTAAATTATCTTTATGGATGCTCCCTCAGCCATAATTAAGTAGAAAAGGGAGAGGGGTATAAAAAAAGATGATTATAGTGTTTTAAGAAAAATGTGTCACATTTATTATAATTAATTAACTTACTTAACTTTTTTAATCTAATCAAATTGGTTAAATAGGTCTTATATTAAGGACCGAAAGAGTGTCATTTAATAAAACATTTAACATGTACAACTACTATAAGGAATATTTTAAAAAAAAAAGATAAACAGTAGTATAATAGATAAAGTGAATTGAGTTCTTATATGTATAATCAAATTGAAAATCAAACCAATAATAACTAAACTAGATTTTAGTTTTCATTTTTAAGTCTTTTAGTAATATACTTTTTAATTCAAAGTTTTGTTTCAACCAATTATTTTTTAAAACAGTGACAAAAAAATGTTCTCCAATTTGAAAATTTTGCCATATACTTAAAATGTAGTAGTTAGTTATAGTAGGACTTGCAGCCATTGTCGTTACTCTCGGTGATAAAAGCCATTTTTGTAATAAAGGGTCATTTTAATCACCGAGGATATTGTGCCAGAAGAGAGATTAACGTGATTTTGGGGCCAAAAACACTGACTACATTTTATAATAACAGTCATTAGGACGGCCACTCCTTTACGTCTAAGAATCCAGTCATTCACAAAATTAGATATCGTATCGTATTCATAACGATACGATGTCACCCTGCGTTACCAACCAATCATTTAATGAGCACATGTATTTATATGATTTTGAATTTTGAATTCGAATGATTGCTTAACGAGTATGGGTGCTTAATATCAGCAAGTCCTATGAATGATATTACTATGTTTTTCTATGCCATAAATAATATAAAAATATAATATCAATACAATGAAAAAATGTTTCATACTAGCTCCAATTCTTAATACTCCTATAGTTTTTAATATAAGATCTATTTAACTAATTTGATTAGATTAAGAAAGTTAGGTAAGTTAGTTAATTATAAGAAATGTGACATAATTTTTCTAAAATATCAAATCATTTTTCTTAATACCCCTTCTTCCTCTTCTACTTTATTATGATTGAAGGAGTATCCATAGGGGTACTTTAGAGAAAATTGATAAATATGAGAAACGTGTCTTATATTTAGAACCAAAACTAACTCAACAATTAAGTCCTATATTAAGGACTGGAGGAGTATAAAAGTTTGTTTGACTTTTTATTTTGATTATAAATATAGGATCCTAATCTATTTTGTCTCTTATATTTATCTTTTTTTTTCAAAATAATCCTTATAATAAAGGTAATTTTAGTCAAATATTTAAAAAAACAACGACACATATTTATCATGAATAACTCACTGAACTAGTTTTCTTAATCTACTCAAATTAGTCAACTAATTCTCCTCTAATTAGTAGGGATCAGATACTAATAAGAATCTTCTGGGCATGTTCGATTCTACTATTTCTGCAGCAATGTTGTGCCTATATATTACTACCTCCAGTTCTTAATATAAGATCTCAATCAACTTTGTTTTTCATATTTATTCATTTTCTCCCAATATAGTCCTTCAAATAATGATGGTTCTAACCAATATACTTAATTATCAAAGATATTTTAAGAAACATAACACCTATTTATTAGAAATAACTAATTTAACTTATTTTCTTAATCTACTCAGATTAATCAACTGGTTCTTATATTTAAAATCGGAGATAGTATTATAAAACTTTGCTCACAAATTCAGATAAGAAAATTTTCTGAAATTTTTTTACCAGATTTTCCTGAAATTTGAAAACAGTAAATCTTTAATAGATGATATTAAATTACAACACAGTTTTTGATTTACATTAATAATTACTCTAGCATCATCATTAATGTAACAGTGTAGGTCACCAATAGCGTGCAGCACATTTTCAATTGAGCCGATATGTCGCATTAACTAAAAATAAGTTACTTTATTCCTTAATAAATAAAGTTCAAATATCTTTAATATAAAACTTATTTAACTAATTTGATTAGATTAAAAAAATTAAATAATTTAGTTAACTATAAAAAATATAATATGTTCTCCTAACACATTATAATCATCTTTCTTAATATTTTGTCTTTTTTTTTTTACTTGATTGAAAGAGTATCAATAAGAGTATCTTACAAAAAATTAATAAATATGAAAAACAAGTATTACATTTTAAACCAAAATCAACTTCATAATTAGACCCTATATTAAGGACTGAAAGAGTATCTTTTAGTAATAAATTTTACAATTTAAAATTTTCAACAATTTTCCCAGTCAGATAACCATTTATTAATGTTTTCCATCCCGCTGGTCAAAGCCAACGGCTTGAACGAATGACCTCATTTTCTCAAATATATCTAACTTCTCCTCAGGATGCGGGGGAGTCAACATAAGTGCTGAATTTTGTCCCATAGATTGCATAAAAGCTTCGAATAGGAATGATGGCCTCAACAGTAGAAGATTGTCGATATTCTCTCTTTAAAGTTTGCAATTTCTAATTTCTGTGGCCCCGAAGAAACTGAAATCCTTCAATCCTTCAGCTATTGAAACACAAGTTTTAAAAACAAATTTCAAGAGGAATCAAAATTCACTAAGTATTTTTCCTTTCAACTCCAATACCAAAATTTCAAGATAGAAATGAATATAAAATCAGCACAAGATTGACAGATAACTCTCACCTTCTGGTGGTCCTGTTACTATATCTTCCAGAAGTTCATTGGGAAAAACGATCATGATTCTATACAACAAAAGTTAAAAACACTGAATAAGCCTAATGATCAGGAGAAGTATCATAAGCAGGAGGAAAAGAGATCCAAATCAGACAGACCAAAAATCACTAATTTTCTGCAGTATTTGTGGCCTGCTTTCCCAATTACACGCACTGCAGATATAACGGTAACTACAACGCACAAACACCAGCACTTCATAGCAGATAATCCTCCTCAAGAGACAGAATGCCTCCTGTGTCTAGAAGATGAACTTCCTGGGACAAAAGATGTCGGGCTATTTGAACTTCCGGATGTCTCGGAGCTCTTGTTCTCTCCCTGTCCTTTACCACCAATCCATAACTTGTCAAAGAGTCTCCTCGAACGTGAAGGAAGTAATTGCATTCCACTTCTGCTGCTTTTGCTTTTATTCCTGTTCAGTTTCCCATTCCTGGGAAATTCCTCCTTGATCTTCACATCACACATCTGGTTCTCCAGGGGTTGGCAGTTCTCACCAACTATTTTCTCACATTCTTCATCCGTGCTCACTGCGTACGACAAAGGCATTGAATTCTTATTACCAAGTGCCTGGACGCTGGCAGAAGCTCTGACCTGCTCAAAAAAGAGAACCTGCACTACAACCCGAAGTGGAAGCCGCTCATTCTGAGCAGCATGCATAGATGCATTCACAGACAGTTTCTTCACATCCATCAGTCCACAGAGCTTCTTTCTTTCAGCTTTGGTCATATTTGGGTGCTCCTGAACGCAAAAACCCGTCATCAATTAGGCTCTCTCCCTAATGACAGCTGCTTATTGCAAAGCAACAATGAACGAAGTGGCACAAAATAAAGTTCTATTCTGGGTTACAGACAGAAATTTAATATCAGATCCGCCAAATAAGAAACAGGAAATGTGTACTGTTCATTCTACAAACCAGTAGCAGATTAGAATGAGAGAGAACCATCAACAAATTCCAAACAGTGGCCGACTAGTACTTCTACAAGCATCGCTCAAACATAAGAGCTCCATAAGTAAATTTAAAAAATTGTAAACTTCAAGGAGCACATTAAGCATACCTTCAAGTATATGTCAATAGCTCTGTACAGAACATCGTGATTAGGTCTAGCGAATACCGGAATCACTTGTGACAAGTCAACAAAACTAGAAAGGCTGAGATTCGGATCATGTGCAATTTCTGCAAGAAAATTGTCCGCCAAGCGGCCCATATTCACAAAGAACATATGCGCAAAACTAGCTTTATCATTTCCTTTATCTTTCTTCTCTGAAATTTTCATATTGCTGCTGATGCCCTTTTCATTCATATATCGATTCAAAAGACATTGTACCAACTGAACATCATATATGGTAGTCTGAGGAGGCCTTGCAGGGATCAGTAGATCTTTGATGGAGGCTTCATGCAATTTAAGGCAGGTGCTCTTCACTAATTCCTCTTTTACGGACTCATCTACACCTACAAGGATGGCCACTTTCAATAGCTTCAGAAGGAAAGTACAAGAACAACCCACAGCATTGTCAGGTGGCAATAGACACACAATTGTTTCCACCAGAAATTTGTTTCGCCATGCGTGAGCTTCAGAAACTAAAGCCTCAATAGAATCAGGCAACCACCTAATTGCATACGTTTTCAGTGCCTCCCCAATCACAAGACCATCCATCCTTCCCTTTGACTTCACAGTAGTCATTAATCGTTTGTAGATATCAATGTCCAGCTCACAAATATCTTCAACCCACCAATCCTTAGGAACAGACTCTACTCTCTCTTCACAAGTCATCTTGTGCTCAGTACTTCTATCAGGCTCAGTTAGTTTCCGGTTATATGTGTAGGACCATGTGATGTTAGCTGGGTCCACAGAAGTTTTAGAAGCTATAGAATCTATACATCTGCCAATGATCTTCAGATCCTCAGACCATGGGAGAAGAGATTTAGCAGTTTGTAGAACAATTATGGAATCTTTCCAGCTCTGAAAGATGCTTGAGTTCAGAAATACCTCAATTTTAAATATTAAGTTTCCCCTCTCAATATCCTCAGTCATTTCAAGATACTCAGCTGCACAGCGAGCAGCCACAACGTTGTAAGCATTTAGAGTAACAGTCATTCCATAACAGAATTTTGCACATAATTCAAATGCCTTGGCCCCTCCAGGAAATTCATTCAAGAAAATTTCGTCAGAATCGTCTTCATTAGCTCTTGACATTTGCTTTTGTAATCGATTGCTCTTGGACAGTAGAGGGAACTGCAACCCATGACAAAATCAAATGATGAAACAGTTCTACGATAACTATAACGCGCCGACCATACTGTGGCCGCCTAAATCATTTTGCAAAACGGGACACATCAAAGATTCAGAAATTGCCTGTACCTTATGGAGGTAAAACTTGACTTCGCCGACATTTATGACAATATCTGCAGTCAATTCAGATGACGCATACCTGCATAAATTGTAATGGGCACATCAAGTCGGTAACAATTTTCGAGGAAAGACTCTAAAAGAATACTATCTCCACCTCTTAATATAAACATTTAATTTCATTCTAAATATAAAATATCATTTTATTTTGTTTATTATATTTATAATTTTTTTCAAAATAATTATTGTAACAGTTGTACACATATTGAATATTACATCAAGTGATAATACTAATTAATAAACATAATTAGTAAGAATATTCTTAAAAAAATAAACATATTTATTATAAATAATTAACTTAATAAACTTTCTTCATCTAGTTTAATTAATTAATTAACTTTTATATTAAGAAGTAAAAGTAATAAATAAATGTTTATTGCTGAAACAAAAAGAACCCAGAGGTTAAAAAACACCTAACTTGTGTTAACAAGAGATGAGAACCGTGCCAGGAAATTTCAGCCAACTCTTTTTACGAGGAAACACGGCTTTAAGGCCAAGCCCCGGACTCGGCCCTATCCAGTGAAATTAGTACCCACTTTAACCTCTCCTTTTCTTTATTACTACCTCCGAGCCTCATTAATTAATTTAAAGAGATTAAAAAAAATTAAATTAGTTATTTATAATGAATAGATTTTTTTTAAAAATATCCTTATTAATTAAATATATTGACTAGAACTATTATTGTTAGAAAAACTATTATAGAAAAATGTATAGATATGAAAGACAAAATAAATTAAATCTTATATTTAAAACCAAAATAAAAATCAAACAAATCTTATATTAAGAAGAAAAGGTAATATTTTTTTCCCCCATTCGGCGGATTCAAAAAAGATAATCCATCAATAACAATTATCAATTAACTTGTTAACATCTAGTTTCGATACATAATTAATCTGCATGCACTAGGGAGGCACCAGCTAAGATAGTCAGTTATGAGTGGAAGGAAAGAATATATGCGACTATGCGAGTAGTGGAGAGAGAAAGAGAGGCAAGTAACCGGATTAGTGGTAGAACTGATAATATTGCTTAACGAGGCCTCTCGTCAGGTTACGAGGAAACGGAACAGGACATCCTAACAGAGATCTGGCGAATCCACGTAACTTTGCTATGGTTGGACCACACACTCAAAACACCCACACACACAGATCACAGATCCAAGGGGGGACCACCTCCTACTTCTTCACGGTGCTCCTCCTTTTTTTCATCTCACCGGCAATAAAATATTAACATCTCGACCAATTTGGTCCATTCATGAAGCTCATTCTCTTTTCCACGTCGTGTTTTTTGACGGTGCTCATAAAATTATGAAATAGAACGGAATGATTATGCAGGAGACTAGAGCCATCTCAGTTCTCAACTCATCCAGGAATATACCACCTTCCCTCCAGTAGCAGAGCCTCACTCCAATTATAATTTTAGTTCGAATTCAATGCAAAACCACAAACTGTACGAACATGAATTAATATGGCTCTGACGAAAACTACGACCATAACTATCAAAAAAAAAATGTCGAGGATTCTCGAACACTTGACAACAGCAAGTTGAAACAAAAATTAAGATCTGGACTCCGCAGCTACCACTACACCGAGAGTCGAAAAAAGGAAAAGAACATTCTCATAACGACTTCATGTTCAAACACAACTTAAGGAAAGACAGAAAAAGGAGGCTTCTCAAGTCTCACCTGATAGACTTTCCATCAGCTTGAAAGGCACCCGGCTTGGAACCCAACTTCATAAACTTCATTTTCTCTCGAGGCAAAAAACCACATATAACCACGGAAGAACCGTCAGACTAGACGACAAACTGTTACTTCTCCGTTGCAGCCGAAGTCATATACGAACAGAACAACGCCTCTCTCTAACGGCGCCCTGTGATGCCTGCTAACCTCTGGCTACCAAGTCACAGAACGAAGACAAGCTCAACCCGACTCAGTTTACCAAACTGCAGGCCACAAAAGGCGTTCCGCAGAAGAATGCACTCTAAAACACGCAAGTCAGCCCTGCAATAAACATAATGCCGAGACCTTTACTGCCTCCCACTTACAACTCGTTTTTTGTGACGGTTTATTCATTGATGACGCTAGAAGGAGGGAATCGTTGAAAAGCAGGCTCAAAAGAAAGAAAAAGCCGGAAAATGCACTGAGAATCAAAGCCGTATTCAACCTCTAGAGGGTGGAAAAAGAAAGTGGGTGAGAAACTCAGAGCACTTATGATTTGTTTTGGGAATCGAAGAGAAGATATGAATGCAGCATGATCAGCGGCTCTAGAATGAGGCTCTGCGCAAAGACAAAAATGACATCAGAAGGGGGAAGAAGTGGGTTTGGAGAAAAATAACAATGGCGTCAGAAACACAATTATTAGCATGAACTAGCTCAGGGACTTGAGAGAAAGGAGGGAGTGCGTCTCACTCTGGGTGTTGAAGTGAAATGAAAGGCATAATAAATCTTCGCCGCCTTTGCTTTAAATCATCCTGATCCGCTGAAGATCTTCTCGGCTCTGGTTGGCGCAAATATCAAAGAGGGGGTCTGGGTTCTCAGAACGGAGATGGACAGACCATCCTCGCTCTAGCCTGGGGATATGGATGATGATGTTACAGGGCCTGACACGGTTGTCTCTCCAACTTCCGAACTTGGCAGCAAGAGAGAACGGAGGAGAAAGAGAGGAGAGAGAGAGAGGAGAGTAATGTAATGGGAGGGTACTGAATGGCACAGAAGTGTGCATAGGGAGTAGGGGACTGTGTTACAGGGTGGCTCAGATGACTTTTAATAGGGCTTTTATGCCGTTTAAGCACGCCATCCTCCCTTTTTACAATTTTGTCCCTAACCTCTCTCCTTATTCTCTACAATGCCCGCCACGCCACCCTCCCGCCTCCGCCACCAGCCGCTGAATTGCTTTTAACCACTCTGGAGTCTGGACCCTTTACATGCCCTTCGCCTTGCTCCTCACATGCTCTTATTTTATTTTATTTAAAATTAAAATTTCAGGCCAATGCTCATCACATGCTCATTACGTCATCACACATGGCACATGCTATTTTCTTTTTGTTCCTTTTTTGACTCGCTCCGTTTTTGTTTTCCTTCCTAGCATTTTCGTGAGAAACTTCATCGCCAAACGCCAATATTGTCCTTCATTTCGAGACTTCGACAGTGATTTATAATTTATTTATTTAGATTAATTAATATCAACGTTGTTAATTTATTTAATTTAGAATCTTTGGCCATTCATTCGTCGGGGGCGAGGATCGACGCGTTACCCAGCTTATTTTAGCATTTAAAGTTATTTTTTGCCAGCAATATTGTAAAATCGAGTATAAACATGTCTCACGTAAGTAAAGATAAAACTCGTTTCACATATTTATTTTATATTTTATAAATCACAATTTAAAAATTATTTATAAATTATTCTAAAAAGGTCCTAATATCAAATTAAAAGGATGATGGAAAACAGAACGGGTTTGCATCTTCAAATCATTAGTGGATTATAAAAACAGTAGAGAGGATTAAACATAGCGGGTGGAAACTGAGAAATCCCAACGCGTCAGGGATGAAGCATATTCAAGTTATTCATACACTTCGTTTCGTGTGCTCCTGAAGGGATCCTATGTCTTTTTTTTTTTTAACCACAAAAGGAGATATATCCTATGTCCCTACCACTACCACTACCGTTTCCACGCACGCATATTTGTTTGGCCTTTTTTTTCCAGACCATAAGAAATATTATCATATTTTTCTGCAGTCATAATAGTTTATCTGGAGCTCTTGAAAGTTATATAAAGCATTAATTATAATTTGAACACAAGTCTTTATTTATAAATTAGGGATTAAAATAGAAAGTCAGTCTACTTTTTATTTTTTTTAAAGTGAATAACTGTACTTTTCTTTGACATGGAATGGCATATAAAATAACTGAAAGCAGAGAATAAAGGTATAAACGGCTGTTTTTGTAATCCCAAAGCGTCAGCCGTCAGGCGGCAGCACGTTGGTACAGCTCCTTAAGTTTATCAATCCGAGGCTCGTTGATTTATAAATTATTTTTTAATCATGATTTATATGCTAATCTAAACACAACCTAAAAATCTTAAAAAAAAGGGTTGCCCATTTGAATTGGATTATATAACTATTTATTAATATGATATCTCATATATTTACATCATATTTTATAAATCACATTTGAAAAATTGTTTATAAGTGATTAGAAATAAGTTTTGTATCATGCTTGATTCCTTATTTCAATTAGCGCCCCAAGTACTCTTTCAAGAACAAAAGTTTATTGATTTCTTATTCAACCACCGTCTCGGCAATTTCATATCAAGTAGATGTACATTTTATTTAATTACGTTTATGCACGAACAGGTGAGTATAAATGTTGATAGAAATATTTGAATATGAATAATACTCCTATGGTCCTTAATATAAGACCTATTTAACTAATTTAATTAGATTAAAAAAATTAGGTAAATTAGTTAATTATAAGAGACGTGACACGATTTTCTTAAAATACCATAATTATCTTTTTTAATACTTCCTCTTCTTCTTCTATGGTTGAATGAGTAAATAGTACTGATACGCTCTTATTGACAGCTCCTATAAATATGGCGTCAAATGATCGCCATGCATGTTGCATGTTTACCGATCTTCATCAGTGTCAACCCATCACATTTGCAAGTACACGAGACTCGCTGTTTTTATTATTTCACGGGATTAACGGGCCTTTTTCCCCCCTCGCGGACACCCTCCTCTTCTTTCTTTCGAGTCGTTCTTATTTGCTGTTCCAATAGAATTTAGAATAAGTTGCGTTACGTAATACTACTTCCGGTTCTAATTATAAGACCCAGTTAACTTATTTGAGGAGATTAAGAAAGTAAGTTAAGTTAGTTATTTGTAATAAATAAGTATTGTCATTTCTAAAATATCCTTGCTAATTAAGTATATTGGCTAGAACTATCATTATTAGAAAGATTATCTTGGAAAAAAATACATAAATATAAGAGACAAAATAGATTGGGGTCTCATAATTAAGACCAAATAAAAAGTCAAACGGGGTCTTATAATAAGGACCGGAGATAGTATATTGTTAATAGCTAGATTTGTTGTGGATTTTATGTTTCATGCTTATATATGTGTGTGGATGATTACTACATACTTTCAACAACTGTTTATTCACTTCCAAGATGGAAGCGGAGCTCTGACGTTCAATGAATCATTCCCTGCCATCCCTCATTATGAATCGTGGGTCTTCAGTGTATTTTATAATATATCACGACTTTGTATATAATCCCCTCAATAAAAGCAACTTGACCATAAATAAACAGTGCGACATTTGAAAATATCATTTAATAAAATTTTTCATTGCGCTCGATTTTCATATTTGTGTTATCTAAATATCTTGTTTCCCTTTGGTTTTTGTTCATCCAGCTAGCATCCTTCGATGCATGGTTTGTTGCGAATCCGAGAGTTTTAAAATTCGTTTGCACGCCTTATTACTAAAGTCTGAACACAACGGTAGGGAACGTGTGATGGATAGCAGTGGGCTCCACGAGATCTTCTAATCATGAGATGGGGTGAACGGGACCACGATGCCATCCTCCAAACCTGTTTTCTTTTTTGGTTTTCCTATTAGGACCTGTTTGGATAGGAGGACAAATCATAGTTTGAAAAAAAAAAAAAATCATCTAAACAGGCACAAATTATCTGAAATCATGATTTGGGTCAAAATTATGGTTTCGGGAGAAGTGAATCTATTTTGTTTCTTCCTCAAATTGGAGAATATGATTATGCCTATAAGAGTAGATCTCAACAATAATATGACTTTAGCACCATTTAATTCTTTTATAAACATATTTAATCTTATATCTTATAAATATATATACATATATTAATTATTTATTAATTACATTATCTTATGTATTATTAATTATGTTAGTAAAAATATATTATTAACAATTTTATTCCTTCAAATTAAAATATATCATAAAATCTATCTTTTACGTAATTATCATACTAACTTATGTCCTTTTTAGTAATTTGTATATATAAAAAGTACTTCTGATAACAACTATCCAAACACTTTCACTTCTCAGAATCACGTTTTCACATAACTTATTCTCTACAAAATCTATTCTCCAGAAGCTATTCTCTAAACTATGATTTGATTTCATCCAAACAGTTTAGTAAAAATAATTGTGGGCTTGTAGCGTGGTTGTTAATTCCGATGGGGCTTTGAAGGAAGGAAGCACAGGCGAGAGGAGGACACAAAATCATCAGAAGGGAGGCGTGGTGGTTAATTATGACCAAACTCAGTTTCAATCTCAACTGGAGTCAAATCATACGCGCATGTGTGGTGGTTGTGCCTCCAATGATGATGCGCGTGCCCATTTTCGCGTTTTCCTTCACCGCAGCATAGTACTTTCGATTTGATTCCAACAATGATACATATACCCCCACACATATTCACACACACTAACGTTTTCAATTTACGCTTTTTAAAACGATATCGGGGTTTTAGTTAACTTGGGTCCGTGACAAAATGTTTTACCGTGCATGCAATTCCATATTTTACTACAGAAGCCGGGTTTCACTTATTCTTGTCTTCTCCCACCTTACATTTTGCATTATGCTCCCAACCAAACGCATTACTGGCATAATTAATTAGCACGCGTATTCGTAAACTTGTTGACCCGTTATTTTTCGAACTGTAATTATCATAATAATGCCTTAATACGCATAGTGGGGGAAGCCTTTTAATTAATTTCCTTTTATATTCCACCCGTACACGTGGAAAATAAGTTATTTTTGCTTGAAACTGCGTAGTATATATGTTTGTTTGTTTTATTTATTTAAACTTGGAGGCTTATTAAATCATGACGATTATGATTAATTATCACGACACGAACTGCTTTATTTGATTGCCAAGTAACGTAAAAACGAAATCATCATTATCATTCTATTATTAGCTTTAGCAACGATGTCCTCTTCATACATATTATTGCACGGTCGCTCAGTTACATTATTAAGTATTAACTACATCTTCCAGGATAAAATAATAACCTGTCCCTGCCTTTTTATTATTAGAATCGGATGACAGTGTTCTTTTTCCTATATATAAAAGGTAATTCAACTATTGCCTGGTACATTTAATGTGTTATAGTACTGCATCTCGTTGATTGTGTGAAATAATTTAGTGTCATGAATGAATCATCATATCATATCGTTAATATGAGCATTTTTTTAAAAAAAGAATTCTTAATTTAAACATATTAAAGAATTTAACGGAGTCCAAACATAGTTTTTTGACATTGACGGTTCGCTTATTGCCTCCGCGGCTTACCGCGATGCTTGTTTGTTGCAAACAAAAGCCGATAAACTTTTCTAGTACTACTTATAAAACAGAAAAAAAAAGATATTTTTGATACTATTTATAGGGTACTAAGAAATTTTTTTTAATATAAATGTATAGTTTTACTCTTTATTTATTATTTTGTTGATTTTATTTAAATGAGGTATAATATATATTAAATAGGAATAAAGTTAGCAAGTTGTTAAATTTTAGATGAGAATCAATAAAATTTCAAGTTTATCTTAATCTGTGTGAAACATGTTGAAAATGACTTATAAATATGACAATAAGAGTACAGTGGTTATATCTAACTGAAAAACAACTCAAATCATAACTGTTATTCCCCCCCTCTAACGTCTCACATGCATAAAACTGACTAAAATATACCGAATTTTCATTTCTTAGTTGATGAATGTGGTTTGGTGTCAAATACAGGATGTTAACCCATCATCATTTAATATTCTTTTCACTTTGCCCTTTTTTTCACTAAGCATGAATTTTATTGGAGGTAATACTATTCGAGATGCTGTCTGACACTAAATATAAATCCCTCTGCTAATGAAGTTTCAAATACTACCTCATATCCTAATTATAAGATTTTATTTATAGATTACAAACAAGATTTTATAAATAGAACCGGAAATAGTATTAATTTGCCTGCTAGACCCAGCCCTTTCGTTCACTTTGCAGTTTGCACTAATTGATTTCAGTCTCTCTCTCACCTCACTCATCACACTTGATGTTCCATTAAAAGAGGCCTAAAGCAAAGTCCCATACCCCATTGGCCCATTCTCCGCCCATGAGGAAGTGGCGCTCCACATGGACTCAACTTTACCCAATACCATGTGTCCAAAGTCAAAGGGTATCTAACTACCCAAAAAATATCATTGGGCCTGACCCCCAGTGGCCCAATACTCATAACTCCGTCACCTCCTTCCCCAGAACAGACCACGTTATTATTGGGGGAAAAATAAACATCCAAGACCACCTTGTCGTCGGTGAGTTATTTTCAGGCAGCAATTCATTCTTTATTTTATGTTTCCTGTGACGCAATGAAAATACCAAAAGCAGTAAAATGTCCAAGGATTAGGAAGCAAGCAAACGCCATTTCTACCACCCAGTTATTTCAATTGCCAGCCAAAAAACGTTCGACATTTTTTTTGCAGACATTGATTTTTTATCTTTCTTAAATTTTACTACTATGTTTTTTGATAAATTCACTATTTTTTGCTTCGTTGCCGAGTTGAAGCGGCATAAATAAAAATCGCGTCACTGCAGGAAAATTCCAGATCTGAGGCATAAAAATGGTTTTTATAATACTACATCCGATTTTTAATATAAGAGTTAATTAATTAACTTAAATAGATTAAAAAATTAGTTAAATTAGTTATTTATAATAAAAAATAAGTATTGATTTTTTAAAATATTTTTTCAAGTTAAAATTTATTTAGTTTCTGATCATGTTTCCATGGTTTCCCTGCGCGGCCGCAGATCTGGGTAGTGACGTAGAAAATAAGAAGCTTTGGCAGGTTCCTTCCTAATTCTCATTTTGTGAAATCCCGATAATACCCTTTAGGTCGACGGTTGTTATGGTCAGATCCAACTCGAACCACTTACGTGGCACTATCTGATAAGCGGATGGTGTAACCGTACCCAACGTGTAACCGGAGAAATACCCAAGTCTTCCATCTCGTCGCCGCAGATCTCTTTGTCTTTCTTGTTCTTCTCCCTTTATAACTCACGCGTGACGGACACAACTATTTGAAAGAGCCCATCCTCTGTTGAGATCTACATCGCCCGCCCTTTCGATCTCTAGCGCCATGGCGTTGTGGACATCTTATTCCTTCCGAATTCTGACGTTCGCTGCTACTCTTCTGCTTCTTCTTCATGGTGCTCACTGCTTCTATCTCCCTGGCGTCGCTCCGCAGGATTTTCAGAAGGTCAGCTCCATTTCTCTTTCGCATATTCACTTGTTCTTGGATTCATATAAACTTCTTGATCTGTGTTCAAGCTTCAGATCCATGCTAGATATAACAGATTCTAGGTTTTTCACCCCTTGTGCGATTGAAAAATGAGGCATGGGGAATGTAGTGAATGTTGGAAATTTAACTCTAATAGATCACGTCATTGAAGAACGTCCGATGCGTAGCCCTTAACTTGGTTTTGCTTCTCTTCTCTCTTCGTGTTCATTTATGCTTCATTGAGAATCGGAGGATTGGGAAACATCGAAATGCTACTACCCGCAACTCGTTCTTCACTCTCTTCTGCAATCATCCAACATTCCACTATAATTTATAACCGAACGTTGTTGTTTCGATGTGAATGTTTAGTTGCTAAGGGTCTTTTGGATCTTATTGTGAACTTGTAATAGAATTGAGATTTTGCTGAGGAGTCATGTGGGTTTTGGAGCTTTGGATGTAAAATTTTTACAGAATCAGCTAGCCGTTAAAGATGACGGATGTCAGGAATTGCAAGTGAGGGTCTTTGTAGTTTTCCATATTACGCGTCTGGGCATGATTGAACTGCCTTTTAACATCATTATGATTTCATAACGACTGATGGAGTGTATTGAGCGAATTATATGTATCTCGTTTTCAATGCAACCGCTCCAAAAGTTGCCTTCATCTTGATGGCTGTGTGCACAGGATATTTCTATTGTAAACTTGTAAAAGATTTGAATCTGATGAGTGTGATGTCTATCATATTTTCATTTTATGCCCTTCTGATATGCTCAAACAAATTAATTTTCTTTGGTGCAGGGAGATACATTGCAAGTCAAAGTGAACAAGTTGACATCGACAAAGACTCAGCTGCCTTACTCATATTATTCGCTCCCTTATTGTAACCCTGGAAAAATAGTTGATAGTGCAGAAAATCTTGGTGAAGTGCTTCGTGGTGACCGCATTGAAAATTCTCTATACGTGGTTAGTTTTATTTTGAGCATGATGGTGAGCCTCTTTTCTATTATTTTTTGCGTCTGATTCTAAGTTTGAGATATTTTTCAGTTCAAAATGCGTGAGCCACAAATGTGCAATGTTGTGTGTAAGCTTAAACTTGATGCCAAAACTGCAAAGGAGTTTAAAGAGAAGATTGATGATGAGTACCGTGTGAACATGTATGTATACCAATGACTGAGCTATATTTTTGTGCCGGTGTATTGCATCAACTGTTTTGACATATCTTGGTATGGTACTGCATTTTATGTGCAGGATCCTTGATAACCTTCCTCTTGTTGTTCCTCTAAAGCGGATGGATCAGGATTCTACTGTTTATCAGCTTGGTTTCCATGTTGGGCTTAAGGGGCAATATAGTGGGGTATGCTTATTGCCTAGCATGAACCTTTTGTTGTGAATGACATTTATCTTGTTATGCTGACTTTATTTCTAATTGCTCAGAGCAAAGAGCAGAAGTACTTTATCCACAATCATTTGTCGTTTATTGTCAAGTACCATAAAGACGATGTAACTGAATCGGCCAGAATTGTGGGTTTCGAGGTTAAGCCGTTCAGGTCACTAAATTTGACCTTCACCTCTTCTACGTAATTATCTATATTGATTATTTCATCCATGGTCTGTCGAATTGATTTTCTTTTACTCGACTGTTATTGTGCAGTGTTAAACATGAATACGAAGGGAAATGGGATGACAAGACCCGATTGACAACATGTGACCCTCATACTAAACATGCAGTTGTTAATTCCAACGCTCCTCAAGAGGTTGAAGAGAATAATGAGATAATATTCACGTATGATGTTGAGTTCCAGGTGAGATTATTATGGACGTGATATCATGTTACATATGTCCTTTCTTGGTCAGGAGCAACGGGACGAATTTCCGGTTGTCATAACTATTTTAAATCTAAATGGTTATTCTCATCGTTCCCATTTATTATGGGCTATTTATTAGTTTTGCCATACTTTCTAATTTTTCTCTCCGGAATTTAACTGTTGAATGATACTACCTCCATTCCTTAATATAAAAGCTAGTTGACTAAGTTGAGTATATTAGGAAATTAGTTGAGTTAATTATTTGTAATAAATAGGTATTACATTTCATAAAATATCCTTGCTAATCATATGTATTAGTTAGAATTACTATTTGATGAAAATTTTAAAATGTGTAATTAACTATTTTGGAAAAAATGGATAAATACGAAAGAGAAAGTGGATTAAAATCTTATATTTAAGACGAAATTGAAAGTCATATTAACTTTTTATGTTAAGGATAGGAAGTGGTAGTATTAGTTTTATTGCTGCTGCCACCATTATTGTTGTCATTATGATGCTGGTGATGTCTTATTCATAAGAGCTGTTTTGACCTTTGGCTACAGCCCAGTGACGTGAAGTGGGCTTCAAGATGGGATGCTTATTTGCTGATGAGTGATGACCAGATTCACTGGTTCTCAATTGTAAACTCATTGATGATTGTTCTCTTCCTCTCGGGCATGGTGGCAATGATAATGCTGCGGACACTTTACCGTGATATCTCGAAGTACAATGAGCTTGAGACGCAAGAAGAAGCCCAAGAAGAGACTGGTTGGAAGCTTGTCCATGGAGATGTCTTTAGGCCCCCTAACAACTCGGACTTGCTGTGTGTTTATGCTGGAACCGGCGTTCAGTTTTTCGGAATGATTCTAGTCACCATGATGTTTGCCATCCTCGGGTTCCTTTCTCCTTCAAACCGAGGTGGGCTAATGACAGCCATGCTCTTGCTTTGGGTCTTCATGGGACTTTTTGCTGGGTACTCCTCTGCCCGCTTATATAAAATGTTTAAAGGAACCGAGTGGAAGAGAATCGCCTTCCGGACTGCAGTCATGTTTCCTGCAATCGTCTCTTCCATTTTCTTTGTACTAAATGCTCTCATATGGGGCGAGAAATCATCTGGAGCTGTGCCTTTTGGTACTATGTTTGCACTGATCTTTTTATGGTTTGGGATCTCGGTTCCACTGGTTTTTGTGGGTGGCTATGTTGGATTCAAGAAGCCTGCAATTGAGAATCCCGTGAAGACTAACAAAATCCCGAGGCAGATCCCCGAGCAGGCCTGGTACATGAACCCGGTTTTCTCAGTTCTGATTGGGGGAATACTCCCATTTGGAGCTGTCTTCATCGAGCTTTTCTTCATCCTCACCTCAATTTGGTTGAATCAGTTCTATTACATCTTCGGTTTCCTCTTTTTGGTCTTCGTCATCCTGGTCATCACTTGTGCAGAGATAACCATCGTGCTCTGCTATTTCCAGTTGTGCAGTGAGGATTACTTGTGGTGGTGGCGGTCATACCTCACGTCCGGCTCTTCTGCACTTTACCTATTCCTTTACGCGGCATTCTACTTCTTCACCAAGCTTGAAATCACAAAGATGGTATCTGGAATCTTGTACTTCGGGTACATGCTTATAGCTTCGTATGCATTTTTTGTGCTGACTGGTACCATCGGATTCTATGCATGCTTCTGGTTCACAAGGCTCATCTACTCGTCGGTGAAAATTGATTAAGTGTTATAGTAATTAGTTGTTCATTTTTTTTCCGATACAAGTAATTAGTAGTTCTTCTGATTCATCTTGTATGCTTGTTGAAGGACGAAGAAAATTTGTGCTAGGTTTTGAAATTCGGGCATTACATGTCATGTTCAGATGTAACCTATTCTATACAATTTTGAATTGCATGACACCGTGATTCTTTCGTCTCAGTACATTGAATGAAATTTTCGCAGGGGGGGGGTGTTAGAGAATAGGTTTCTAGGTGACATCTTCATTTATTCGAAGAAACTGTCATTGCACTTGCGATCCACTGGCAATGATGCAATTAAGATGAAAAATGTGGCATGTAGGATAGAGTATTATAAATAAAAAAGTATTTGAATGGGAACCGATTTTAAAATATACGAAATAAATTTGTAAAGAAATTTATCTTGATTGTGAAAAAATATTCTAAAAAAACATTTTTAGCTATAGCCAAACACCTCCTGAATGACTGTTGGTGGTAGGACTATGGCATTAAAACAAGCAAAATTACAGTGATTGTTATGTCATGATGTACTTTTTTGTTTTCGGAGTGAAATTTATCATGTACTTTGTAAGGAAGGGTGAAAGACGGGGAATTGTAAACACGCGAACACGATCAAAATCATAACAAAGAATGCCGAGAAATAAATCATACCACTGATGGAAAAGACAGGGAATTTTGGAGAAGGGTGCTGAGAACAAACAAGGGATTAGTTGTTGTCTCAGGAGATTCTGAAGAAAAAAAGGAAAAGACCCAAGGAACTATTTGCCGGGTCGAGTATTGTTGTGGGCGTCAGGAACGCCGACAGCAACCTTAGCAACATCGGAGGCGGTGGCGTCGGGCTTCTTGTGGACGTATAAGACGAAATAACCGAGGGCAGCGGAGAGGACCAAACCGGTGAGAGTGATGGTGGTGAAACTGAAGGGAAGGTTTCTCCTCTGGTGAAGGACTCCTCCGGGAGGGCGGCCGCTGCCAGGGGGTCTCTTGGAGGCTTCCACTCCTGCCGCCTTCACTTCCTCCGCAGTCATCTTGTGTGTCTCCGCATTCTTCCTCCATTCTTCTTCTCCCGCCATTCCTCTGTTGTGCCGGCTTCCTCTTCGCTTCCTACCAGCTACAAGAAGAACCCACATTGTTTGCCGCGTCTGCTGCCGCGTCACGTCTTCCTGACACGTCGCTGCTACGTGTCGTCATGCATGCTCCGCTTCTGATTCTGTGTGCGCATCATTATATCATCCGTTTTACTTGTCTCTGGAACAGGTTACAGGCTTGGATTTAGATTTAGATATTTTTGTTTCCAATACGATCTCGGTTTCTAGCTTGCCCATACAATGACAATGCCTTTGCTCTTCCTTGTCCCCACTTCTCTCCAGCCAAACGTTCCCCATTTGACCTTGTCACTCGAACAAGACAATACTCCTCCGGTTCTTAACATAAGACTTATTTAACTAATTTGATTAGATTAAGGAAGTTAGGTAAGTTAGTTAATTATAAAAAAAGTGACACATTTTTCCTAAAACACCATAATTATCTTTCTTAATACCCCTTCCCCTCTTCTACTTGATTATGGTTGAGGGAGTATCCATAGAGGTAATTTAGAGAAAACTGATAAATATGAGAAATGGGTCTTATATTTAGGACCAAAACCAACTCAAAAATTAGGTCCTATATTAAGGACCGGAAGAGTACTAAATTCCCCATTTAGCATCCCTTTTCCCCATTTAAAAAGAAAGATCATAATAAGTGAATGAATTTTCGCACTTGGTTGTCATCTTGTGCTTGATTATGAATTAGAAAATTCACTCAATGGTTTTTTCTCATATTGAGCATAAATTTAAAAAAAATCAAGTATGAAACAAATCTATTTTATTTTAAAAACACAGTCCAACACATTTTAAGTTCGATAAAATTATTGATACTTGTTTGCAGCTAAAAAAGGGAAATTAATTATTCCCCATTGGGCCTGGCTTTTCATTCGTAGGCTTCAACCTCAACCGAAAAAATAAGAATTCGTGAGATAAAGCCCAATCTGATACTTCTGTGTTGAGTGATAAACTAATAATCGAGCATAGTCTCGTCCAACAGAATTAAACAAAATAAAAATGGAATAAACACAAAATTTATCCGTCAAAAGTATTTTAGCTAAAAAATTGATCGAGGAAGCAGGATAATAAATTAGGATCCCAGAAACGTACTAGCAGTTTTAATAATCAAGGCTTAAAAATGAAAATTGAAGAAGGCAAGCTACTTGAATAATCGCAAAATTCTGGCAAAAAAAAAAAAAAGCAGTAATCACAAAATTGAATATTCCGTTTCCCCTGACAGCTGCGAAGTTTATCCGTTTCTGCAAATCCTCACATACCTGAGCAGAATCCGCTTTCAGTGACCGTTGCAAAACAAAACGATGATCCTCTTAAATAGTACTCCCCACAACGCAAGTGGGTCCCACTGTTGCATGATTCATCGGTCTGGGGCAAAACGTTTCCTTCCAACGGAGACATGTGGCCCCCCCTCCATGCTTTCTCCACACTCTTTAACGGCTAGTTTCTTTCTTCCTCCTCCATAAATACTCCGAACCCCTCCTCAGCTGTTGCAATACAAAACAAAACATCTCTATCTCCATCATCTAACGCCCCCACGAACTTCCCTTCAGTTATCAGAATCCATGGCTTCTTCCTCATCAGCTTCTTCTTCTCTTGTCCTTTTATTCCTTCTCTTCGGCCTATCTGCAGCTAGGGAAATCTTGGTGGGAGGCAAGACTGATGCATGGAAGATCCCCTCTTCTCAATCTGATTCTCTCAATCAATGGGCTGAAAGGTCCCGCTTCCAAGTCGGCGACCATCTTGGTATGTTTAATCTCTTTACTCTTATTCTGCCACATTTCTGGTTTTATGAGACATTGCATATTATGACAGTATCTCTGTTTTTGCTGATTAGTGTGGAAGTACGAAGGTGGGAGAGACTCAGTTTTGCAAGTAAGCAAGGAAGACTATGCTAACTGCAATACCGCCAACCCCCTCGGAGAGTACAGTGATGGCAACACCAAGGTGAGGCTTGATCGTCCTGGGCCATTCTATTTCATTAGCGGAGCAAATGGGCACTGCGAGAAGGGCCAAAAGCTCGTTGTGGTTGTTCTCACTCCCAGAAACCGCCACATGGGTATTTCTCCGGCACCTTCTCCGGTCGAGTTCGAAGGTCCTGCTGTAGCTCCCACCAGCAGCGCCACTGCTCTTCGGGGTGGCCTGATGGCGGCTCTTGTGGGAGTATCGGCTTTGTGGTTTTTCTGATGCTAATGGCTCCATTTTCTTAGGTGTTAGAACAGAGATTTCTTTGTTGAGAGCTTTATTCTTTTTGAGGGGATTACATGATTCTTTTCCAATTATTATTATCATATGTAAAAATTTAGGTATCTGATTTCACACTCCAGTGGTTAATGATACCCATATATTACATTACCATCGTGTGTTTTTGTCTTTCCAATGTCATATTGTGAAAGCTTTTCTGATTCACATTCACCCTCTCACCCAACCATACCTCCCTAAGTACTAGCAAATCAAGTTTTGCTGCAGGAAATCACATTTTAATTAATAAAGAAGCTAATTGCTGAACCGATGAGAAAAAGCATGAAATAACTAGAAAAAACAGTGCCACTAGTTGATCATGAATGAATCGAACTTTTTTCTGCCGAACATGTAACTTCACTTGCTCTACCTTTATTTCCGTCGATTATGCAATTCGTGGTTTTCTCCCACTCTTGATCCACCCCCCCTTTCCCTTTCCCTTTCCCTTTCCCTGCTTGCTGCCCTATATCATTCTGCATTAAAGGGAACAGTGTCATTTTTTTTTTTTGGGGGTGCAATAAACATTAATTCGTAGGTTCTATGCACAAAAAAGTAATTCACTTTGAAAAGTGAAAAACACAAACCAGCTTCCTTATTCCTGGCTAAGTCAATACCTCATTGACAACCATCTCCTCTCCAACTTTAGAAGACCGTGAATATATAAGGTACTCATAACGTTGCCTCAGAAACCTAAACAAGGTGAAAATACTGAGTCACAGAATTATTCAATGAAAAGGAAAGAAATAATAATAACCATGGATGAAATCTTCATGTTTCACACCTAACTTCATGCACAAGTGTTTCTATTTTTCGTCTGGCCGATCGAATTTTCCTTTTCTTTCTGACATTCTCCTGCAACAAAATAATCATTTCTCTCTTATTCATAATGTTAAGAGCCTTTGGGCTCTTAAGAGCGATCATAATTTCTCTTCCTTATCCGCTATCAAGCAGATAATTAAGGTACATCAGACCAAACATTTCATCAACTTTCAAATTATTAATATTACAACTGCATTATAAATTGTGTGCGTGTGCCGTTTGAGAGAGGGAGAGAGAGAGAGAGAGCTCCAACCTTTTGCAGGTCCAAATAATCTTGTAATAAACTGTTGAATTTTGGATCTCTACGAGAAGCATTGGATTGATGGAAATTAAAGACCAAACCCCTTTTCATCTTATCCGTCAGCTTGAAATTTTGAAGGGAATGGAGGCCGAGGTAGAACCCCAACGTTTCTCTTCCATGTCTTTACGACCCGGGTTCCTGGAGGCAAAACCTTTTGCTGGAAAAAAGAAAGGAGAGAAAGCAAGAAGCAGAAAAAGGGTGAGAGAGAACAGAGGGATATCAGAAGCCAGGAAAAGCCATGAAAAATTAAGGAGAGAGGAAGAGAAGGGGGCATTTAGGTTTTTGTTCATGGTAGAGTAGGATTATAGCATTAATCATCAGGAACTGGGAGGGAGGAAATGGAAGAGAAAGAGAAGTTATCATGATGGAGAAAGAAAGAAGCAAAGAATGGGGGATGATCACGATAACAGATAAGGGTGTGTTTGGATTAGCGGTGGGAGAAGTAACTTTTTTTCAATCTGACTTTTACAAAAGTCAGATTGGGTAAAAGTCAGATAGGATAATGTGATTTATGTTTGGATTGGATTTTGTAAAAAAGTCAGTTTGAGAAATGTAAACTTGTTTGGATGACTAATAAAAAAGTTAGTTTATATGTAAAATGAACAAAAAGGATATGAATTTTATTAAGTAATACTACTTCCAGTCCTTAGTATAAGAGCTAGTTTTGATTTTAAATTTGATTCTAAATATAAAACAATAACTATTTATTATAAATAACTAATTTAACTAACTTTTCTAGTCTCTCCAAATTAATTAACTAGCTCTTATATTAAGAATTGGAGGTAGTACATATTTACTATTAAATGTATATAATGTGACAATTGTAAAAAAAAAATTCAAAATAAAATCATTTAAAATAAAAAATTAATTTATTATTAGAAAGAAATTAAAAAATGCTACCTTTCCACGGCACTGTTACTTTCCACCGGTAAAAGCAGGATTGAAGAGCTTCTTCCATAAGTCCATTTGAGATCTAAAAGTCAGATTATATAAACGCTGTGCCAAACACTACATTTTCTGAAAAAGCACCGTTTGCCATTTGAATCGCACGTTTTGGTGTCCAAACGTGAATGCAAACAGGCCCTAAATGGCTCCAGATTGCACTTTTGTAACCTTGTTGCTGTGACTGGGAACACTGCTATTGGGGCCCCGGCAAATTACTAAAACACCCTTCCAAAAATCTTAAAATGCGTCACACATCATTTCATGCACAGGAATTCTAAAATAAGAGCTTGCTTTAATTTGACTAATATATAATGAATTAGTTTAGGAAATTAAATGTAATTCTTTTTTCTATTGCATCCATTTCGTTTCATTTTGAAATTACTATATGGGCAGATCTCTGTTAACTTCTAAAGCAAAAAAATGTAAATACAAAAAAGTACTAATGACAAGTTAATTGCATGGACCTGTTATTTTTCATACTAAAATGTATCATTCGCATATCAAAAGATTGTATGATAATAAAATTCCTCTCTTCTGACGACATGATAACTTTTGTTAATTGCATTTTTATGGCAAACAATAACTAAAATGTCAGGCAGCGAGTTTATAGGGTTCGTTGAGTTCAAAATTATAAGCGATTAGATTGCTAGAAACTTAGATATGTTTACGATATCCAAATCGTTTACTCGAACACAATTAGTGGACTATAACTACGACCCCACGACTTAAAATCTTATCGAACTTTACGGATCTTGCAATGCGCGATCTGAAACTGAGGAATTTTTTTGGGTGGGGGTGGGGTGTGTGCTAAAATTACAATTATAAATTATAAATTATACAAATACTGATGAGAAGAGTTACAAGCAAAACAGGACGCGCAGTTCAGAAGTGAAAATACTAGACAAAAGATAATGGAACACAATACAACATTGGATATTTTATACGGAGAATTGTTGCATTAGTGTATTATTTCTAACCAGTGGTCAGTGGCACACCCTATACAATCCACATCTGAAAAAACACAACCTGCTCACTCACTCTGGCTCCTCTCCCCTGTATTGGCTTCAGCTTCAGCAGATGGCTCTTCTGCTTCCGCTGCTTTGAACTGGCTGGGTTTCTTGAACTGAACCAATATCATTGTCATATTATCACATCCCTCGCCGCCCACAGTTGACGGAGCCAAACACCGATCAAGTACTCTTTCACACACCGCGGAAAGTTTACTTTCCTGCACTCGTGATCAATTACTCTTTTATTAATATTATATATATCTTTATAATAGTCATCATCAGTAATTGTCAGTTACTATACTCATTAAATAATCATTTTATCAGGAAACAAGTTCAAGCTCACCGAACGCAGTTGTTCATGCACAAAATCCACCAACTGCTGGCTTGACATGCAATCCCTGAACACAATCAACATAAAGAAAAGCACAACATCACTCACTGCTCATTAGGTATGCAACTTACCAAGTGTTTAACATGAGAACCCAATTGCAGTACATTTTATTGATTTCAATCACCATTTTTTCCCTCTAAATGTCTGACAAAATCAGCATTAAAACTGGAATACAAAAAGATAAGGCGCGTACCATATGCCATCACATGCTAGCACTATAAACTCGTCATCTTCACAAAGCTCAACCTGTAACATGTTGATAACGAAAAATTGTGGGAGTCAGAAAATACGAATATTTAAAGGAAAAATACTTGAAACAAGTTGCAAGCCAATTAAGTTAGTTGAACTGAAAAAACACTTAACAGTGTTTATATCAGGATTGGCAGTCACAATTTGTTTTTCAGCAGGCAGAAATTTATTCTGTTTAAATTCCATGTCACCTGCAACAAAACAGAAATTAAAAACATTTAGCCATTCTTAAACCAAAAAGAATACACAGAGAGAGAGGAAGAAGAAGGAGAAGGAAATTTAAAGGGAATTTGCGTCCAGAGCAAACAAGAGAAGGTCATGTGCGTGAAATTGCAAATGAACTTGAGATCTTCGCTTATTCTACAAAGTTACCTTCCATTTATGGTTCTGTTATTTATCATGACTACTAGTTTCTTTAACCAGCCCAAAATAAAAATCGAGGACACCCACACTACTCTGTCCTGCTAAAGGTTAATGCACCTAGAAGGTTGGGGTGGGATTTGGAATTAAATTAAATATCACAAGGTTTACCTATAGCTCTTGCAAGATTTAAACTGCCATTAACTCGTCCAGCATGAATAAAACCACCAGCTTTTAAAATTCTTTCCTTCTCAGCCTCAAGGTCAGGTTTGTGATCTCTAGACAAGTTGTATGCCTGTGAAAAAAACCAGAGTCATAATAATCAATAACCATAACTATCCGCAACAAATCTTCAGTCGCAAACATTCATTATAGAACCTACACGAGAAGATTTATAAAGCTTATTGTAAATATTCAAAAAGTCGTCTCATTAGCTTTAACCAGTATACAGATTTATGTACCTAAAGAATATAATAATAAACACGCAAGCAGTTAACACAATAAAAAAGTTCAAGAATTTCTGTTCCATAAATTACCTGACCATTTCTAGATATCACACAACGAGAATCACCAGCATTCGCAACAATTAATTGATTGTCTCTAATAACTGCAACACATGCTGTGCTCCCCGAAGTTGGTCCAGCAAAATCAGAATGTGGGCCCTAAATACACCAATCAAGTTGTAATTATTGAATGGCCACAAAAGGAAATAAAACACAGAGAAGAAATTTTAATGAAACAGAGAACCAGAAGATCAGCACATCCAAAGAAACATGTATCTTATAATGGAAAGATAAACATATCTTCGCTCAAAGACATGTTTCAGGCACCATAATACGAAGCATAAGCAATGATAGCTGCGATGTTAAGAACAAAGTTTATGGTAAACCTCCTAAACTGTTACACCTACCTCCTCAAAAGCCCAATCGTCAACATGATCATTATTATCACTGTTTCTTGGAGACCAAATCAACCCTTCTATCATCCCAGTAAATCTGTTCATCTTATCCCCCAAGACCGCTAATTCCCTCCAACCCCTTTGGCCACGCATCATCTCATCCATTCTGCATAAAAATAAAATGGCCAGTTCAAAACTTTCTATCCTTCCACGGGAACGAGTGTAGGAAGATAGTGAAGTGTACACGAGGAAAGAGCAAACACTTCTCTCTGTCTCTTCCTTTTCCAAGGGGGGAGAGAGGAGGTAATGTCATACTTCATTTTCTCAGCTTCATATAAGTTTTATGAAAATGAGATGTAGCACTGAAACATACGCTATACCATCAGCATCAACTGGAAAGATGGTTAACCATCAAGAAAAGCTAGATACTTGATTATCATAATCTTCCAATAACTAAAATTCGTGGAATGTTTCTATATGACTAAACAATGAGGACAATGTCGAGTATAGGATTTACATGTTCAAAAAAATATTTAACTATAGGACTTACGTGTTGAAAAAATATTTGGTATTCAGCATTGATTTTAGACCTAACTGACTAAACAGGAGGAGCTCCCCTCTTTCACTAACCTGAAAAAGGCTTTCTGAAGGGAGGTTCCTATATCTCCAGCTTGATATGATTCGCTTGTGAGCACCTGCTGGTGAAGATACTTAGCACAAAACTTCGCAACCACCTTCCCTGAAAAGTGCAAGGGTAAAGTTAGCAACCTTGACAGAACACACTGCTGATAACACGCAACCTGTAATTCCTCTTCAGTACCAGCCCCTCACTCCTACTTTCTTCTCTTCCTTACAAGAGGTGACCAGAATCATACTCATGCATTTTACTGTACTTACACCTTCTACATTTGGCTATATGGCTGAGAAATCAACACAAATGTGAATAACATGCTTATTGCAAGAAAATCTCTCATATATTCACAGATTAGAAAAGCCTCTTATTGCAAGAAAATCTCTCATATATTCAGAGATTAGAAAAGCCTCTCTTCTTTTTAGTTTTCTTGCACTGACAACTTCTCTCTCACTTTACTTTTTATAGATAACATAATCCGATTCTCATTTTGCTAATTAAAAGATAAACATAAAAAAAAAAAAAGTTATCAAGCTCAATGCAACATATGAACCCATCATCTTTAGAGTTGAGATAAAGACTTCCATCAACCCAAGTAGCCAAACATTTTTAAATCTTACCTCCATGTCCATCATAAACACCAAAAAACGAAGTGGACGCATCCAGATCAAGACATGCAGCATGCTACGTAAAGAGAAAAGAATTCTAAAATCAATAACATATAAATATTAATAGTATATCCAAAATCAATGCAAGTCAAACCAGTTCATTGAGTTGGGATGTAAATTCTAAAATGAAGACAATCGATTAATTCACATTATCTATAAAATGCCAATTCAATTAACTAGTAATCTCATCGGCCCTTTATGGCATGGAAAAAAGGATGAAAATATAATTATCATCTAGTTCCTCCAATAACACCAAAATTGCAAGGAACCTTTGGGACTTTCAATTTTCCTACAGATTTTGAATAAAGTTTTATATGTTTATACCATAAATACAGAGTGTACAACACTAAAAGAGCTATTTAAAATGCTCATTGTGAACTGCTGATGCGGAAGATTCAAATAAATAAAAGCAAAACTGTTCTACCCAAGTCAGAACTTTTGTTGATATATTCCCAACACTCCATCATACTCCAAAGAAATGGCAGAAGAGCCTATTTATTTCATATTAGAAATGAGAACATACGATGAAGACAAAAGGTATCGCGACCAGACAAAGGAATGTAATAAAATTAAGTCAAGGTGTGAAGATCAGAATCTCTGCTAGCTGATAGAATGTGGCATACTTATCTTTATCAAATTATGTCACGCATATTCATTTTACAGGATTTAAGATCAATGTGCAAAAAGTATTTCATACATAGAACTAGAATATATTACAATAAATACTCACAGCATCTTCCATTGTTGCACGCCACCCTTGCATGGACGATAAACCATATCTAAGATGGTCGTTCTCACCATCTTCGGAAAACTTCTCAGTTTTAGGAGTGCTGAGGTAAACACCCATTCTTCTCTAAACTCAAACAGAGAGGCGCTACTTTACTATCTTTGGGGCAACTGAAGTAAAACACAGACGAAAACAAGTTACAGACGAGAAAAATCCGAAATTCATTTGAAGCTGTGCCCTGTAATTTCAAATGTTGCAGATATATAATTGTTTGTCAGATCTCTATGAGCGAATAATTTTTTTTTTTTAAAGCAACAAAGTTTGAAAAGTTCCTTATTTCTCAGTTCACATCATATAGTTCTCTTCCAAGAAAGAAGTCAAGAACAACAGTAAACAACGGAGATAAATCCAGCGACATTGTGTGTGGATATGCCGATAGAGAGAATATCCCAATAAAATAGACTTAAAAGTAAATGTAGCAGACATTATGGAGAATTTTATGATTCTGCGAGACAATCACAGTTAAGGAGAGACAAATTGATCACGAAATGATTTTAAAGTTGGGAACTAGGGAGAAGGCTCAAGCCAATAAAATTGTAGGATATTTTCTCTCACTGACACAGTTTAATAAAAATGATATTGACCATGGAATGATCTTACACTGTGCCACGTAATGAAGGGGAAGTCATTAACCGTGTTGGAAGATAAACAACAGAATAAAAATAAAAGGAATTAGGATTGTTGGGTGAAAAAAATTTGAGATAAGCAATAAATGAAAGTGAAAAAAAAAAAGACATAAGAAATTAGATATTGATGGCAGACTGCTACTTTGTTGTATTGTTGGTAAAGATAGGGAGGTGCACATTGGAGGGAACAAAAGGTTCGGCAAGAAGCCCAGGTTAGGCACGCACGTCATGAAGCAGAATAGTCGTTATAAAAAAAGGAATAATGGGAGCTGATCAAACCATGAGTTTCCATTAATTTAACGAGTACTCGCGTTAGAGAGATAACAGAAGGTATTGTTTTGAAAGACACTATACACAAACTTGGAAGATGACCATAATGTCCAGATGCTTTGAGGTAGGGAGCTTAAACTCACGAAGGAGTCACTGCAGACCACACCAGAATGGGCAGAATTAACCAACCAATATATATACATATATCAAACAAAGTACATCGGTTAAAAATTGATGTATCGTCTGCAAATGCATTCCGAAAGAATTCATAAGTTTTAAGAATTTCGAATTGCAATTATAAGTTTGCTAGAATATAGCAAAAATTAATATGGAAGTTACTCTGATAGCTGATGAGAAATATGCGGGAACAGAAGAAATTCAAGAGCGGTAGAATAAAGGAAGACCCAGATGATTAAAGAGGCAGAAAATAAATTAGAAAAAGGATAAAAAGAAATTATAATTCACAACTAGAATCCATAATCTGAGCATACTCACTTGGCCAGCAAAGGCCCCGTGCAGACTCAGAGATCAGAGCTAAAATGAAAGCAAAGGCAAGTAAGGGAGAGTGACTTGAAAGTAACTCAGCGATTCAGGCACGAGAATTTTACAGTCTGCTGGGAGGATGGGAAAGGATGAGAAAGCTTAAAGGGGCGAAAGAAGCGAGGAAAGCGACGGCCTCGAGCAGAAGGAAGGAGGAGTACAGCGGCGACTGACGAGAAAAAGAGAAGATATTTCATAAGACAATCTTTTAATCAACGCCTCTGAGCGACTCACCACGGGGCTATGACAAGTTGACAACATTTCGTTCCATGATTGCCTGTCTCAGTTTCTTGAAAAGAAGAAAAATTAAAAAAAAAAAAAAAGGCCCTTCACTGTCTTGATTTCCCGGTTTTTTTTTATTTTTTTTATTTAAAGCATCTCGCATCCTTGAGTTGAGGGCGTTGATTTCAGAACCCCAAAAAAAAAAATGTATAGAAAGAAAAGGACTTCGTTATCCATCCGATCGAAGCATTCGCTCACTCCCAAAGTCAAGACGCTCGGCCTAATTTTTAATATCCACGGTAAGGCGGCCCTGAGCGCGTAAGCATTATCCACATCGAAACTTTTTTTTTATTATTCTTAATAAAACAAAATAAATTTTTAGATATTAGCCAAAAAAAAATTATGCTCTCGAATGAAAATACACAGCCACTTTTAAAATGATGATATCAAGGATATAATAAATATTTTGTTTTCTTGGGGAGCAGCTCTCACGGTGGCATAATTAATTTGGTATTATTTTATATGTAAAGGGCAAAAAACTTAGGAAAACTTGAAATTACTCGTCAAATCATACAGCCAAATCTTTTGGACGCAAGGCTCCTTCAACAGCTGAGAAACAGGAGAAGATGCCAAGTGCTGTCAGGAATATTAGTTTGCGCTAGAGTTTGTGGGGCTTACTAACAAAATGAGCCTGAATCTTGTGGAACAAAGCATGGTGTGGAAAAGCGGAAGCTTTTCGGCTTTGTAAATCTCGAGCCACTCCAATTGAGAAGGGGCAAGATCTGCGTCGTAATTGCAACCCATATCTTCCTAAAGCAATGAGAAGATTCACGCAATCACGTTTCCTTGTACGAAATCTGAGAATAGTGATGCAGAGAATGAAATCTTAGAATAATATTAAATTAAGGAAGCGGATCAGAGATCTTGATTCAAATCCGGGAGCTCACATGCCCAGGAAGCTTGTTGGCTGCTAAACCACATTCACATGTCTCCCAACAAAGCAATGCTTCCACGTTCAAGAGCCAGTACCACACGTAATGTCACAAGGCCTATAATTTCCTCTTACTCACAGATTCAGGGATGATTCTAGTTCTGCCGCAATCATCTTGCTTTCCATTCTCAATAACGCGTGCGGATTCTGTCGTTCAGGGATCACCTCTTCTTCTAAATATAGAATCTCTCATTCTTAATTGAGATTCGCTGCTTTGATCTAGCATTTTTTAGCCGCTTTCAAATCTCTCTACATGACGCGTATCTCTGCGCGTGTCCGTGTGTATCCATCCACACACATGGATATATTGTCAGTCCAACGAAGTAACACCGCAAGCCCATTTTAGGGCCCAGAAAGCAGAGTGCTGTTTGGGCTTTGTATGGAAGCCTGAAGCCCATAGCCTAAAGACTAAACTCATCAATTATGTCCGCCCATGTATCGTTTTTCATTCATAATTACTGATGAAGTATTGCTTTCTTTCTAAACCTTCATGTGGAACCAGATATGAATCCCTGTGTGAGTCCTTTTTTTTTTTGGGGAGCCAACGTGTCAGGTTGTCTATATTAATGCGCCAACTTAATTTTTTTGACCTTTCTTTGAAAAAAGGGTTGAGAATCTTAACTCCGGTAACGCCTCCTCCAAATGCGTCCGGTGATTTGATGCAGATTAACAGTCTTGGCCCAGCCCTAGAAGACTTTGGATGTTTCTGTTCTCGGCCGAAGAAGACACTGGATTAGATTTCAGTTTATTTTATTTTTTATATTTATTTATTTATTTTAAAATTACTCTTCTAATAATAATAGTTATAACCAATTAACAGATATTTTAAAAATAATAATGTATATTTATTATAAATAATTAATTTAACTTATTTTTTTAATTATGTTACCTCAGGTCTTACTTTTATTTTGGTTCTAAATATAAACCTTCAATATTTTTGTTTCCAATATTTATACATTTTTTTTCAAGATAGTCATTCTAACAATAATAATTCTAATCAATACATTTGATTAGCAAGTATATTTTAAAAAAAACAATACTTATTTATTGTAAATAACTAATTTAATTTTTTTTTTCAATCTTCTCAAATTAATAACTAGCTCTTATAATGAGTATCTATACATTTTGTGGATTAAAAACAAAATGGATCCAGAACCTACGTGGCTGCGTGTAAGCGCCATTTTCATAAGCACCGAGAGGGCCTTAAATAAAGTCTCCACGTTCCTTCCCTCAATTTCACTGCGAGGGGCATCGGATTCGGACTCGTAAGGCTTAGCAATTCAAGCAGTTATTCGGCTTCCATGGCTTTCGCGGCAGCCTCCAGCTTCACTACCCCTCTTCACAATTTCTGTCAAGCTAAAGTGATCCCAAATTCTTCATCTTCATGGCCATGTATGGCCTTCGTTCCGTCCATTAAAACCTCATTTGGTTCCGCCAAGTCGATCTTCTTTCAACATGGGTTTGCCCAAATTTCATCCGATTTTCCTGTGTTCACTGCTAAGTCTCGATCTTCTGGTGTTTATGCCAGAGCAGCCACGGAGAAAAGCATTCATGATTTTACTGTCCAGGTATCGGCCGGATTTTCTTTTCTATTATCCTCTTAATTTGACCGTGGAAATTTCTCCAACAGTACATGTTCTCTCGTCGTCCTTAGTTTATGATTCCATTTTTCTCCATCTTGGTTAGTCTCGCGTTTCTGTTTCCCCGCTTTTTTAAACGTGATGACCTTGGAATTTCAATTTAGCGTTAGCTGTTATATATATGATATATGGCTTGATGGAATCGATATTTGATTTTTCCAGAACTGTAATTTCGAGCACGGATAGTGCGCTCATGATTATTATACGGTGCAGGATATTGATGGGAAGGATGTTTCTCTTAGCAAGTTCAAGGGCAAGGTTCTTTTGATTGTCAACGTTGCTTCAAAATGGTACTGAATCCACGATGAGGCTATATACCTACTAGAATTTGTATTATAGCCAAACTTGCCCTCTTTTAGTCTTCCTTCCTAGTCTCTCTTTGTTCAGTTTAGTGCAAAAATCGAATCAGCTTCAGGGGCATGTGGAATTATGCAGTTATGCCGAAGTTTCTGTAAGTTTTAACTTGAATAAATTTTCTTTGAATGACAGTGGTTTAACATCGTCAAACTACTCGGAACTTTCACACATATACGAAAAATACAAACCTCAAGGTATGCTGTGGCACGGATGACTTTAGAAGAGTTGTTGGTAAATTTTTTGTAGAAGTTTTAAATATCTCCTGTTGTTGGTTTCCGGCCCCCCTTTTTCGTATTTTCAGATGTAGATGCCAAGTACAATTACGTTTGTTATGAGGAACTTACCTCCCCTGCATGTTTTACTGTTCAATTTTTGCAAGACTCCATATTGTTGATAAAATCACTAGGAAAAACATTCATTTTAGGTCTTTCTTCGCAGGATATAATATATTTATATGGCAAGCTATTGGTTATTTGTGGCTTTTACTGTATATTCTCGTTGCCTTTTGTGATGCTTTATTCAAATTCTTGGTGAATAGATTAAGTGACTTAAGTCCATTCGAGTGAATCATCCAAGTTTATAGTTGCTCTCTGGAGTATGACACTAAGACTTTTAGCCAAGGATGTGATTTGCTTCATTATCCTTACGATTCTTAGTGCGCTGTGCGATTTGTTTCCACTTTCCAGGGTTTGAGATCTTGGCTTTCCCCTGCAATCAATTTGGTGGGCAAGAACCTGGATCAAATCCTGAAATTAAAAATTTTGCTTGCACTCGGTTCAAAGCAGAATTTCCAATCTTTGATAAGGTTTAGTCTATATGATTTTTCTTTCTATTAGTAACTGTAGCTCAGTTAATATTAGTAAAAAATGTCAAAGTTCTGTATCAGGTTGATGTGAATGGACCAAACACAGCTCCAGTTTACCAGTTCCTGAAATCCAATGCTGGAGGCTTTCTGGGTGATCTCGTGAAGTGGAATTTTGAGAAGTTCTTGGTTGATAAAAATGGTAAAGTTATTAACAGATACCCACCAACAACCTCCCCGTTTCAAATTGAGGTATGTTAGCCTTCCTGCTTGGTTCCCTCACAGTTTGGTTGTATTCCTGAATGATGGAATATTCTTGATAGAGAAAACTTTGAGAGCATATATGGGTAGTTCTAGAATTGCTTGCCATCCATGACTATATATCAAAGCCAAGGATCGTGATCATTGGAAGAAAGCTGAAATGAAAATGTTTCGTAATTTGTTATCAAATGCTGATGTCCCCCAATCATCACAGACCATAGTCTGTGATTTATGCTTACTATGGTATTTCCTATTTGCAGAAGGATGTCCAGAGATTACTTGCAGCGTGAGGTTGAGAGTTGGAAATTGTAGCAGTAATAGGAAACAGAATCCCGGTCATGCCTTGAGGAGGAAGGAGCCTGTAATAATTTGTGACAGATTGTCTATAATTATCTTACCTGTTTTTAATAATAAGAGTATTGACTTTTATTTTTATTTTGTTTTCCCAATAGTGAGAGTATCAGTTTTGGGAGGGCAAGTCATATACCATTATAGGCTATGAAAATGTATTGAATATGACTCGTGAATTTTATAATTTATTGTAAATTTTATATTTGACATTTTGTGTGTGATATAAAAATTCTAATAAATTGTGTAATTAACAAACAGTAATGAGTCATTTCTCCAAGTGTAACGCATTTGCTGTTTGCTGGGCTCAGCCAACTGGTCCGTACTCCATCCCAATCCAATAGCCGAGTTAACTAAAGGGAGACAATTGTGCCAAAACCCAGAGACTAAAGGGAGACAAAAAGGGCAAAAAGATTTATTTATTGAGTTGGTTGGTGCCAGACTGGTTTCATTTTCTTTTAATTGAATCAAAGTAATTTTCCCACCCTTTTTATATAAAAATTAATGGCTAATCTAAAGAAGAGACCGGGTTGTTGAGAGACGGAGAGGAAAATAAAATGTTAGGGAAAACTTTGATGGATATGTAAATTAAATTAACAGACCATGGTGCCGGTCATCACCTGTGCTCGGAGAAAAAAAATCCGAAACAATATTAATTATTATTATTTTGATCATACTCTCATTCCTATTAACTTTAATTATTTTATTATAAATCAATATGGGTTTAATAAATGATTTCATTATTAAATATTTTGATTTTTGACCAAACGAATGGAAAATGTGAAATTAACACGTCGAACGTGACTGGTGGGTTGACATGCTTATCCCACTGGGGGCAAAATAATGGACCTTCATTGTGCAAGGACGAGTAACAAATGAAATATGAACTCGTGTGTTTTTCCAAAAAAAAAAAGGAAAAAGAAATATGAACTCGCATACCTAACAAAGAGAATGAGATACAGCACTTGCAAGAGACAACAATCCAGCACCGATATAAATCGATCATCACGTGGAAAACAAATACAGCGATGACCGAGAGATAAAATCTGGCTAGGGTCAACGATAAATTACTACCTCACATGTTTAATAAAAAATTAATTGATTAGTTTAAATAGATTAAAAAAAATTAATTAAATTAATTATCTTAATAAAATTGTTCTTAATTTATATACTTACTAATTTAGTGTATTGGTTAGAATTACTATTATTGCAAGAACTATCTTAAAAAATAAATAAATATAAAAAACAAAGATAAATTAAAATATTATATTTAAAATGAAAATAAAAATCAAACAATTTCTTATATCAAGGAGTAGATATAGTATCAACCACTTTTTAGGTGTTAAAAAAAGGTACTTGTTTAAGAGAAAATAAAGCCTTAATGAAAAAATGTTTTTGTATTTTCTTTTCCCCTTTTTCATTACACGAGTATAAGTAAGAATTTGAAAAGTGTTTTATACAAGAATCATCCTTTTTTTTTTAATGAAAATGGATATATCAATAACTTGTAATGAGGCAACATCAGAGTGACATCAAAGAATCTTAGTCAAGAAAAGGGAAGAACCAGAAACAAATATTTAAAACAAGATGATATTAAAAAAAGTTAGCTCAATCTTCATCAACCTCCATCCCTAGTCGAAGTTCAAAGGGTCAAAATATATGATCATCCATATTTGTCTGATAATTTTTGCGCTAGCTTGATTATTTTATTTAATTGTATTGAAAAACATAATAAATTTGATTACTGTCGAATTAACACCCTCTGCATT